TTGATGCAGTCCAGGATATACCAGATTCGGTGATTCATAACGATCGTCACCATGCTACCCGACCACAAAACACTGCTGACTTTATCACAGAATGGGAGGACCAATGGGAAAAATTATATGTGTTTGACTCGACTAGAGTGGGATTCACTGATGAGTACTGTCATTGGTTCCATTACATGGGCAAGATACACATTAACAACCCCTCACAAGACCGTTCTAGAACCGGATTTGTTCAAACTCATCCAGAATCAGCTATCACGGTTAATATTAAAGAGTGTTTAGTATTCTCAAATAATGTAATACTTCCTCTGTCCCGAAAAGGTTGGCCAAATTTCAGTTTTTGGATGTCCCAAAAAGATTTGCCATTTCCATTTAAAGTAAGGAATATGTGCCTAAAATTAGTTCTCTCTTCTTTGCACAAATTTCAACCACACAGTTTTTATTAATCCACGTGAAAGTCAACTTTGGCCAACCTTTTCGGGACGGAGGGAGTAATTCACAGTACTAATTGTATAAATTTATATTGTAGTCAATGTTTGGAGGAGGTTGCTCGGGACAGAGGTGACCCTCGAGATTATCCGATGCAGGAGCGAATCAAGAATTGCCTAAGGCGAATAGGTGCAAAAGAAGTGATGGATCACAACATAATCACATTTGAAAATGTTGATGTAGGACACGCATCACCCGAGGGAAATTGCCAACCGAGCAGACCCACATGATATGAGTTACGTGATGATGATACATATCATGATACACCCATGGAGCCCCTGTCCATAGTTGATAGTTCCTATCACGCACATGAAGTTCCCGAACATCAGCATTGTCGATCTACAAACAGATCAACCCGTTACACAAGGTACGCATGAATTTAAGTACACATTTTGGTCAATTAAAGCAGCGACGGATGGTTTCAATCACTGTCTTTTGTCATTTCTATTGATGGAACACATTTGTACGATAAGTACAAAGGCACTTTGTTGGTCGCGGTTACGATGAATGCTGACCGTGGAATCGTTCCTCTAGCTGTTGGGGTGGTTGATTGATAGAGAGTGAGAAGAGCATGGGGCGGGACCGGGCTTGGGCCTACTTCCGTGACCCGGGTTTGGGTTGTCATTAGAGTTTATTTATTATTATGTTAATGTTATGTTTTACTTTGTGCCTATTATTAGTAGAGTTATTATGGGCCTAATTAGGAGTTATTTATTTTGGGCTTAATTAGGGTCTATCTGGAGTCTGTCATTAGTAGCTTATTTAAACCCCTTGTGGGAGTCATTCTTCAGCATTTTGGAATAAAATTGGTTTTAGCCTTTTGGCTCTGGGTAACGGTATTTTTATCGTTGATTATCTGGGCAACGATTTACCTCGCTGATTTTATTTTTCTGTTACACAACAATTGGTCTGACCTGCCGGATCCCGTCCCGCTAAGATGACAAGAACTCAGAACGACCGTTTGACGGAACTAGAGAACGAACAAACCCTAATTAACCAGAAATGCATTGAAGCAAGATGCGCAGGGACGGAAGCTGAAAGAACACGAAATCCAGCTCGCGGAAATAGCGGCTTCACTGGCAGAAATCGTGAAGGCAATGGTGCTGCCGGAGAAATCGCCAACTGTGACCACCGAAAACCCTTCGTTGATGGAGGTCTGCGCAGCGAGGCATCTGCCCTTCTTGCTTTGTTTGACGGTGAAGACCAGATCGGGTGGTTGGCAAGAGTGGAGCAGCAATGCGAGCTCAACACGAGCTCAACAGGACCCTACCGGACCGACAAGTTGCAGCGACTAGAGTTTCTATGGAAGGGGCTGCCCTCTATGGGATGACTTGGTTGAAGGCGTGCAAACCCGGCATGACCTGGGAGGAATTTAAGCAGGCCCCGGTGGCCAGGTTTGATTCCCGATATCAGGGGGACAAGTTTGAACGGCTATCGAGTGTCAAACAAATTGGGTCGGTGGAGGAATACAATACCTTGTTTGTTCAACTGGCTAGCCAAGTTCCGGGATTGATCGATGATCATTATTTGGGCTATTACATGAGTGGACTTACGGAAGCAATCCAAAGTTCGTTGCGATTACTTCGGCCAAAAAACCAGGAGACGACCATAGAATTAGCTCGCGATGTGAAGCATAATCTGTCCGTCCAAAATGGAGGAAGTGGCAGCCCGAATTATAATTCTTCAGGGGTACGTTCCAACAGCTTTTTAATGACAAACACGAGTCCTCTGTTGACTGCCAGTGGTGGCAGCTTACAGGGTTCAAGGGGCAACTTTGCGAAAGATAAAGATAGTGGACAGCCCCCGGGGACAAAGTCAGGTCTGTCCGGGTAGCCTACGACACGCTCTCAGTTCACTCGTCTTGCGCCAAAGGAGTTAGCAGAATTGAGGGCGAAGGGATTATGCTTTAGGTGTAAGAAACCATTTACCCCAGGGCATGACTATCCCTTTAAGTAGTTGCGGGTAATGATAGTTGAGGAGGATGAAGAGTTGGACCTCCAACAGCATGGGTATTGTGAAATAACCAGCCAGGAAAGGGTTCAAGAAAGAGATGAAGGATATTTTCCAGTCTATTCTATGGCTGGAAATTTCAGTCCCCGATCTGCGAGATTTCAACCTTGAGGACAAGGTTATTTTGAAGGAGGATGGATTGATAGAGAGCGGGAAGAGCATGAGGCGGGGCCGGGCTTGTGGGTTAGGGCTGTCATTAGAGTTTATTTATTATTATTAAGTTAATCTTATGTTTTACTTTGGGACTATTATTAGTAGAGTATTTAGTAGAGTTATTATGGGCCTAATTAGGAGTTATTTGTTTTGGGCTTAATTAGGGTCTCCTTGGAGTCTGTCATTAGTAGGTTATTTAAACCCCTTGTGGGAGTCATTCTTCAGCATCTTGGAATAAAATTGGTTTTAGCCTTATGGCTCTAGGTAATGGTATTTTTATCATTGAATATCTGGGCAACGATTTACCCCGTTGATTTTATTTTTTTGTTACACAACATTGATAGTGAAAACGGGGACATTTGGATGTGGTTTTTACAGTTAGTTATGACAAATATTAATCATCCGTGTCGGAATGTTTGCATAATATCTGACCGACATGTCGCTATTGATTGTGCGTTCCGGAATGTGCCACAATTGGGAACACCTCTAATTCAGAGGTGATATTGTCTTCGACACATTCAAAGTAATTTTATGTCCCAATTTTGAAGCAAGAATCTAAAATAGTTGTGTTAACGTGCGGGAAGTACCTCCATTCTAAATGAATTCACTAATTACATGCAACAAATTCGGGACGCTAATGAAAGAGCATTCAACTATCTTGATGCCATTCCTAAAGAGAATTGGACACTTTGTTTTGATGGTGGGTGTCGTTATGTAATTTTAACGACTAGGAAAGTTTTAATCATGCCGTGAAAGTATGTAGAACGCTTCCAATTACAGCATTTGTGAGAGCAACTTTTGATAAATCTGTTCAGCTCTTTGCAGAACGACGTAATGCTGGTATGATGTGGAATCAAAGTGGATATCAATTTCCGGAAAAAATCCGAAAGCACATTATGGATCGATGACAACAAAGGCGTCACACTGTTGTAATCCCTCACAATCATCATAAGGGAGTTTTCTCAGTAGCCATAGAAAATGCAACTTCGAATGCGGTAGACTTTTCAAGGCGCGACTGTTATTACGAGTGCTGGAGCATTGATTGGATGCCATGCAACCACGTGCATGATGTGTGTCACTTCCTCAATCGCCCTGTCGATCAACTTATTCCGGAGGTATATAAACTGAGCTCTTACATTAATGCACATGCAGATGATATTATGCCTTTACCAAATGTGAATGAGTGGCTGGATATTGGGATCCATCTTTTACCGCCGAAATATTTATCACGAATTTCTCGAGTGGGGCGTCGTAAAAAACAAGTTTTCAAAATGAGATGAATATGCGTCCAAACAGAAGAAGAGGACAACAATGATTTCATGTTTTTTTTAATAATTTAGCGTTTTTAGTAATTTATTATGAAAGAATTGTACTTTTTATGTTTTTAATAACAAGTTGTTTCTTATCATTTCAATAAATATTTCAATTTAGAATATATAAATTTTCATTTCAGTAGATAGTACTGTATAATTGTTTTTGAAATGTTGCATGAGATAAATAATGCATTGGACTCTTTTTATATGTAAATACGAGAACAGATTTGCCGAATTTCTTCTAACCTTTTTTAAATCGAAATTGTTGAACATATTCACCAAACACGTTCCCTGATTTATTGTTTTTTAATAAAAATTGTTGAACATATTCGCCAAATTATCTGTTCATATTTTAAAATGGTCTGCAGATAGGAATTTACACCTTTTGGAATTGGAATTGTCAGCAGGGAATCCACCCTGTTTTGTCAATTACCGTTGTTACATACGACCTTTTACTTTGAAGGTTCTTTGCCTGCTACACATCACAAGGTCTGCAGACAAGGATCTTTCTGCAGCTCCTCATGTTCACTGTCATCCTCTTGCAGATCCTGGAATGCATCAAATTTCAGATGTTCTGGCGGTTTATCATAATTGACCATAGCATCTTTTCTTGTTTGCATATATTCCTTAAGCATCTTTTTCACATGTTAATATACAGTGTATACATATTACAGTGTACACTGAGTATTATATACATAGTAATATACTAATATAGTATACACGTTGTTACTAGTTTATTACACATTTACACTATATTATTTAGATACTAATGTAATTATAAGTATATGACTATGAGTCTAAAATATTGGATGAAGAGGACTGCATGAACAAGAACACATGCCTTAATTAGTGTTGTGAGGGAATTGAGTTTGCTTGAGATGCTGAAGAAAACTTAGTCGATGTAGAGCAGCTGGAGTGAGGATTGAGTAGACTGAGGAGCAGTGATTGTTGTAGTGTTTTACACTGGGTTTTACGTATTTACGTACTTGACTTAAGGTTTTACGTAGGATTCACTTCTATTACCCTATTATTTAGATGGGCAGAGAGTACTATTAAAGATATGGGCGACTCAGCTGCACGACATTGTTCGCTTCATGCGCTAACTGATGCGCGTGCGCCTCCCCTTCTCCCATGCGCTGGATGCCCTGCTTGCTGCGGCTGGTGCGCTTAACCAACAAGGTGTGTGCTTTTGACTACCTTCATTTTAGTTTTGTCGGTTTTGATGAATTATATGAATGTTTTAAGCTTTATTGAATATGAAATGAGGCACACACAGAATAGAACCACTGCTAGTCCATGGCTCAACATAGCCATAGGCCCATAAGTAATTAGCAGGTGAAATGTTCAAGGATTACATACAGGTGGAAAACAAGTATTTTACTGAAGCACTGAAATTGCAGGAAATTTAAAGATGATGAAAAAGTCAGGTTATGGATTACAGCTTAGAGTTCCACCTTCACAGAAGAAGAAACAATCAACAAGACCTCCCCTCCCTACTGCACTTGGTTTTGGGATGGGAATGATGATGACGTTGAGAAAGAGATTTCTCGCCAAGCTTCCGAGAACAAGGCTCTGAGAGATATTGAGGAGAGCAGCATAAGAAAGCTCCAGAAGAGGATCCATTTGTATTTGATTATGATGGAGTATATGACAGCATGAAAATGAAGGCTGTTCAACCACACGCACATGACCTTGAGGAGAGGAAGCCAAAATGTATCTGCCAACTGATGGAGAAAGCCAAGCAAAGGAAACGTGAACATGAGATAGTGTATGAGAGGAAACTTGCCAAAGAGAGAAGCAAAGATGATCATCTGTATGCTGACAAGGAGAAATTTCTCACAAGTGCATACAAGAAGCTTCAAGAGTAGGAAAAGTGGTGCATGAAGAGCGTCTTCGCGAGCTACGTGAAGCAAAGGATGATGTAACCAAGAAGGCGGACATAAGTGACTTTTACTTCAACCATGCAAGGAATGTTGCTTTTGGGGGAGGAGAGTCAAAGACAGACAAGACCAAGAAGCTGCATGAAGAGGTGGCAGTTCAACCGCAAAAAGAGACTTATCCAATCCTCAAGCTCAGCATCTCCTAATATGTTTGGAATGATGAAGACATAACATGTACAGGAATCTGTACAGGCAGAAACAGGGCCTACGTCTATCACAATATCATCTGAAGGAAAAACCATAAATGGACCAGCAGTTGAAGATGGACCTCCTGCTGTAGATGAAACTGCTGATCAACCAAAACATGCTGCTCATCATAAAAGAAGTGGCAATGCTCTTGCTGCAGCCAAGGAACGTTTTTTGGCATGAAAGAAGGCAGATGAAGAAAAGTATACATAAGTCGCTGTTAGGTTTTGTGCCCAATGTTTTTTGCAAAAAGCGTATTTCAATATTTGATAATTGGAAGGTGCTGCTGGGTGCTTCTCTTGAATCATTCGCAATAAATCTTATATTTATTGATGATGTAACTTGTAAAATTGTACTTCATGTTTTTCGATTTTAAAAACTCTATAACTGAACTAAGTTACTCAAAATCTCAAATCTAAGGATCATTTTCACTTTTAGTGACATAACTATTAGCTACAGGCAAACATTTCAAGTAGGGGTGGACCGGAACCGGGTTAGGACGGGCTCTGGGCCGGGCCTGGGCGGACTCGGGCTTAAGAAATTTAGGCCGGGTACCGGCCCGGGTTTTTACCGGGACCGGGTCGGGCCGAGCCTAAACAGTACCAGGTTGGGCTGGGTTTCGGGACGGGACTAGGCAACAAATTAAAAAAATAGTACAATCAGGCCCATGCTTGGTTGGGTCGGGCCCAAAAAATGAGCCCAAAGCCGCCCTTATAGCCCACTGGGTCGGGCCCCGGGATGGGACCGAGACTGAAAAGTAGTGGGTCGGGTCGGGCCTACACAGTGCCAGGCCGGGCTCGGGTCAAAGCCGACCTGTCCCAGTCCATCCCTAATTTCAGGCGGAGATTTGTTTTTTCTTTTTTTGCGGAAGGGACTTTAAAGTTTAAATTGTATACAGGGGAAGCATCTATCAGGTTACCAGTGCCATAAGTTTTGCGAATTCAAAGCATATGAATATGGTTTAGTCTGAACCTGCTTAATTATTTACATGAAATCACATCAAGTATTTTTGTTCTCATCTAATACAAAATCGTACCTTTATAACAGAGGTTAATTGCTTCTTTACAGTAGGCTTATTTTTCGTTATCCTTGGAAGAAAATGAGTTTTAATCGTTGTTGCATCTTCATACCAATGTTGTAGTCCATTTTAGAAAGTGATGCATTAGTTTGACTGTCTTTACTGAACTTCTAATTGGCCTGGGCTAGGGATGGACTTGGGCCGGTCCGGGCCGGGCCTGACCAGGGTTTTTTTTGGTTTCTTGGGGCTCGGAACCAGCCCGGGTAGCTACGGGTCCGGTTCGGGCCCTGGCCGGGTCAGGCCGGGTACATTATTTTTTTTTTGATTTTCTAATTACTTCCTACCCCCTATGGATGGACTCGGGCCGGGTGGCCCGACCCGGAATCGGCTCGGGACCGGTACTGTTCCGGCCCGGCCCGACCCGGTGGCCCGGTCAGTGACCGGTCCTGGTAGGCCCGGCCCGTGGGTTTTCCGGTCCGGGCTCGGGTCACCCAAAAAAGGCTCGACCCGGCCGGGTCCGGGCCCGGTTCGGGCCAAAAACTATTTTTTTTTCATTTTTTTTAAATTTTCGGGTTGGGTTGGGTATTTTGGGCCATTTGGGGTGGTTTGGGGGGTTGGGGGTGGGAGGTGTGAAATAATGGAAAAGGTTACTCCCTGAGGAGCCCTGGCAGATATATTTATATTAGAGAGAGTTTAATGGAAAGTACAATACTAAGCCTATAATAATTATATTACACCCCTCAAACTGTGCGTGAGATACAACGCACAGGTTGTCTTTCAAAAAATGAAAACGTTGACTAGATAGACTTTTAGTAAAAATATCTGCCAGCTGTAGATGAGTAGGAACATGTTGAACAATCAGATCTCCATGAGCAACCCGTTCGCGCACAAAATGATAATCAATCTGAATATGTTTACTGCGAGCATGCTGAACTGGATTTGCAGTCAAGTAAGAAGCAGATATATTATCACATAATAAATTTACCGGCTCGGAGATAGGCCATCCAAGTTCGAACAGGACTGAGCGGATATGTAGTGTGTCTTGTACTGTGTAAGCAATGGCACGATATTCCGCTTCTGTGGAGGACTTGGACACAGTGGGCTGCTTCTTAGCCTTCCAGGAAACCAAATTAGGGCCCAAAAATACAGCAAAACCTGTGGTAGACCGAGAACTATCAGGACAACCTGTCCAATCTGCATCGGAGTAAGCAACTATACAGGTTGGCCGATTAGACTGCTGAAGCCAAAGTCCATGATCTCGTGTTCCCTGCAAATATCTGAAAATTCTTTTGACTGCAAAAAGATGAGTGATACAAGGAGCATGCATGAACTGAGACACTAAGTGTACTGCATAAGTAATATCTGGCCGTGTCAAAGTTAAATATTGTAATGCACCAACCATGCTGCGATACTCAGTAGAATCAGATAATAGCTCACCATAAGAAAGAGACAGAGTGGTACGGGAAGCTAACGGGGTGCGAACAGGTTTGACAGTATGAAGGTGAAAACGAGCTAGAAGGTCAGTAACATATTTATGTTGAGAGAGAAACAAACCTTTAGCTGAACGAATGGCCTCAACACCCAGGAAATAATGGAGATTACCCAAGTCTTTCATAGCAAAATGTTTAGATATAATTGAAATAAATTGGGTAACAGAGAAATCAGAATTGCCAGTAATAATAATATCATCCACATATAGTAATAAATAAATAATAGTATTATTCTGGCGGTATATGAACAAAGAATTGTCGGATTTGCTACAGGAAAAATTATGTTGTAGAAGAAAGCTACTAAATCTATGAAACCAGGCTCGTGGAGCTTGCTTAAGGCCATAAATGGCCTTCCGCAGACGACATATATGATTAGGAAAGTGAGGGTGAATAAAACCACGGGGCTGCCGCATATAAACTTCTTCTGTCAGATTCCCATGTAAGAAGGCATTTTTAACATCAAGTCGTCGTATTCCCCACCCAAAAGAAATAGCTAAAGTAAGTACAATACGAACAGTGGTGGATTTAACGACAGGACTAAAAGTTTCAGAGAAATCAATACCTGCCTGCTGATTAAAACCCTGTGCAACTAATCGAGCTTTATGGCGCTCTAAGGATCCATCAGAATGATATTTAGTTTTATAAATCCACTTACAACCAACAATATTTTTAGAGTTATCAAAGGGCACCAAGTCCCACGTATTATTATTAATGAGTGCATTAAATTCATCAGCCATCGCCTCACGCCATTTTAATTGTTTATTTGCCTCAGTAAAACAGGTAGGATCTGCATTGATAGTAACTGTACTTAAATTAAAAATGGTTTTAGGCTTAAAAATTCCTGACTTAGCACGAGTTTGCATGGGATGGTGATTAACTACCTTAGTGGACGTAGGTGAGGTGGTTTCAGGTGAGACAGTGTCGGTTGATGTTGTCTGTGGCGTGCTAGACGAAGTATGGGAGGAGAGATGGGATGGTGGGGGGCTGGTTGTGGACGTGGGATAAGAGGAATGGGGCGACGGTACACTCGGAGTGATAGGAATACTTGGTGACCGAGGTGGCGATGATGGGGTTGGTGCTGGTGCGGCCGTAATTGTGGGAACAGGCTGGAGTGGTGGGTCAAGAGTGATATCGGTGAGATGCATAGGAGATGGTGTAGTAGAAATAGACCTCGATGGAGCAGACGAGAGAGTTTTAAAAGGATATGTGTCCTCATGAAACCTAACATGACGGCTAACATAGACTCGACCTGTGAAAGGATCCAAACAACGATAGCCTTTATAACCGGATGCATAGCCAAGGAAAACACACTGAACTGAACGAGGTGATAATTTATTGGCTGAGGTGGCATTAAAATTTGGATAACAGGCAGAGCCAAATACTCGCATAAAGGAGTAATCTGGAACTCGGTTAAACAGTTTTTGATACGGAGTAAGACCATTTAAGGTAGGAGAGGGTAATCTATTAATAATATATGCAGCAGTAAATATGGCATCGACCCAATAGTGACTCGGAACCGAAGCTTCAAGAAGCATGGTCCTAGTTAACTCAAGTAAATGACGATGCTTGCGCTCACCAACCCCATTCTGTTGAGGTGTGTCAGGGCAAGATTTTCTAAAGTAAATGCCATTAGCAGAGAAAAATTGCTGCATATTATTATTAACAAATTCACCTCCCCCATCATTTTGAAAAATTTTAATTTTCTGATTAAAAAGATTTTCAACCAAAGCTTTAAAATTTTTAAAGTGCATGAAAACTTCATTTTTGTGACACATAGGATATATCCAAGTATAACGAGAAAAATCATCAATGAAACATACATAATACTTGAATCCTAAATTTGAATACACAGGTGATTGCCACACATCAGAATGAATAATTTCCAAAGGAAAAATAGAATTATGACTAGCATCCATAAAAGGTAAACGTTGTGATTTTCCTAAACGACAGGCCACACACTCATGAGTAAAGGGAGTATGACTACATAAAAATTGTTTTCTCTTAAGAAACTGTAAAGTACTATCACCACAGTGACCTAATCTACGGTGCCACACAGGGCCAGAAGCTAAAACGGAAGCAAAAACTAATGGTGATGCAGACGGCAAATGGAGAGGATAAAGTGGTCCACTACTAGTAGCTCGCAGAAGTATTGCCCCCGTTGCTTTGTCCTTAACCAAGAAAGAATTTTTATCAAAAATTACAGTACAATTATTATCAGCACAGAGCCTTTTAATGGAAATTAAATTATATTTTAACTGAGGCACATGATAAACGGATTTTAAAGTGAGAGGACGACCAGATGTAGGTAAAGCAACATCACCAATATTACATATGGGAAGATGGGCACCATTAGCAACACTAACAGAATTATAGCCGGTGTAGGGAGATTTATTTACTAAATTACCTTCAGATACAGTCATATGAGCAGAAGCTCCTGAATCAGGAAACCATAAAGCAGGAGTAATGTCACCGGGAGTAGTCAACAGAGCAGGAGACGTCGGTTGTGTGAAACGAGAAGGACAGTTAATGGCAGAATGACCTGTAGAAAAACAAATTTGACAGACAACAGGATGGGGAACAGATCCGAGAATACCTCCGTCTGATGGCAAGCCTGTATGACTACTGTTAGTGACACAGATAGGTAAAGCATTAATATTTAAATGTGACACAGCAGAATTACAAATAACAGTACCCGTAGATGTCACACCCCCTGCAGGAGTACTCGGTTGCCCACCCCCTCCGGGGTAATAAACTGGATGCCCCTGGGGAAACCAATATGCCTGCTGCTGCTGTCCTCGGCCACGCCCCCTGCCTCCGCGGCCTCTGCCGCGCCCACGTCCTCGCCCGCGCTGTGGAGCGCCGTTCTGCCGACCCTGCCCGACCGGGTAAGTCTGCTGCCCGACCGGGTGAGTGGATCCTGAATTCTGCTGGGTTGGCTGCTGCCCAGACGACTGCCTGGGATATGAAACAGTCGCGCCAAATGCCTGATGAATGGACTGGGACTTCTGGGAGCGGAGATAAAGGACCTGCTGCTCTAACTCAAGAAGATGATTACGGAGAGTCTCAAACGGGAAATTTTGTCCAAATAAGGACACAGCAGTGTATAAAGATTCATACTCAGGTCCTAGACCCATAATAGTAGTTTTTAAAATTTCACGTTGAGGCACAGGGCAATTGATTGTGGCAAGATCATCAGCTAATGTTTTAATTTCTCGCAAATAATTATCCATGGACTGATCAGGTTTCTTTTTAATTTGATTAAATAAACGCTTTAATTCCATAGATCTCGCTAAACTAGCAGACATAAACCGAGACTCCAACCGCTCCCAAATTTCATATGAATGTTTTAAATCACGTACATCGATAAGAACATCCCTAGATAGGGTTGCAAATAACCATGAACGGATGGTTTGATCAATTCTTAACCAAGTAGAAAATTCGGGATTGTGGATTTGACGGTTAAGAGCATCTATGGAATAAGCAGGGGGTACCTGAATGGAGCCATCAACCATGCCAAGGAGAGCTTGGGACACCAAAAACGATTCGAACTGTGTACGCCAGGTAGTGTAGTCTTCCACCGCTAATAATTTGGTAGTTACAATATTTGTGACATTAGTTGCCACATGTGAGATACTCTGGGCGAGATCTGTGAGGAGTGAGCCAGTCGGGATGGCTGCTGGTGTGCGAGAGGGAGGGATGACAGAGGAGACACCAGGTGAGCCAACAAAAGTGGGACCGGCAAACGAGGATCCAGCCGAGAAGGGTGGCGTGTAGAGACCTGCGGCCGCTGGCATGGCAGATGGCTGCCACGGAATTCCCGGATGAAGAGTCTGAAACAGTGAGTAGGTACCGGGAATGTCAGCGATGAAGGAAGAAGAGGCTGGCGGCGGATTCACCTGCGGCGGCGCGGTCAGAGGGGTGGCGGCGCTGGTGATGACTGTGGCTGCGTCGGTGGCGGCTGATGTGACCGGCGCCATGGTCGAAGAAGTTGGAGCCACTGTGGAGAATTCCATGGATCCGGCGGAGTAGCGTCCTGCGGCGGCGGCGGAGATGCGTCCTGCGGCGGCGCTTTGCTGAGAGGCTGCGGAAGCCGTGTAGCTGAGAGACTGCGCGTTGAATGGCGGATTAACGCCGGAAACAGGGGAAGACGCAGTTGGAGAACTGACAGGAGGGGAAGCCAGGGGAGAAGCGACGCCAGGGGACGGCGGCGGCGCTTTGGCTGCGGAAGCCGTGTAGCGGAAAAAAATTTAGGGATTAGGGAAGAGAGAGGAAAAATTTAGGGCTCTGATACCATGTGAAATAATGGAAAAGGTTACTCCCTGAGGAGTCCTGGCAGATATATTTATATTAGAGAGAGTTTAATGGAAAGTACAATACTAAGCCTATAATAATTCTATTAGGAGGAGGGTTAATTAGGAAGAGGAAAACAAAAAAAAAAATATAATGGGCCCGGCCCGGACCCGGTGGTTACCCGGGCCGGTCCCGGGTCCACCATTTCTGACCCGCCGGCCTGCCCGGGCCTAGGCCCGACCCGGACCCGGCCCGGACCCGAGTCCATCCATACTACCCCCCTCCCCCACACCCCAAACACCTCCAAAACACCTAGTCCAACCTAGGGATAGACCCCGGCCAGTCCGTTTCCGATTCCGGGAAGGGCCCGGGCGTGCTTTTTTTGCAAATCCTTGGGCCCGGAACCGACCCGGGTTGATACCGGGTCCAGGCCTAACCGGGCCGGGCCAGACCCGGTTCAATGTCTATTTTTTTTTGCTTTCTTGTTATCCCCCGACCCCCCTCACCCCCACCCCCAAACCTCCCCAAAACACTCAGCCCTACCCTAGGAAAAAAAATTGAAAAAAAAATTGACCCGGGCCCGGCCCGAACAACCCGGGCCGGTTCGCCCAAAACTGGGCCCGAGCCCGGCCCGCCCGGCTCGCCTAAACGGGCTAAAAGCCCGGAACCGGCTAACCAGTCCTGGTCCGGTCCGGGCCCGCACAGTAGCAGGCCAGGCTGGCCCGGTTTAGTCCATCCCTAGTCCAACCCATTCTGCATATTGTTTTAATACGCAGTTTATCATATGGAGGTTAGCCCCTTGTACAATCTGCAAGTGTAATGTTTCTAAGCACCAACTTTTCGATCTTGTTTCGCTTTTGAAACATCTGTAACGAACAAGTATGGGTTTTTTAAATTTTTAGTTTTTTAGTTTTTTTTTCAGTTTTCAAATTTTAAAATTTTTATTTATTTTATATTTGTATTTTTTTTCATTTTTTGTATTACTGCGTTTTGTCCATTTACCTATACGTAGGAGAAAAATGATGGATAGTTTGTCGTTACAAAAACGTTTCCTCCGAAATACCCCGATTTGGGGGTTGAGAATGGGAGGAAGCGGAGGATTTTAGAAGCCTTCGACTTTCCTCCCAAACTAAACGTCCAGTGATAAAAAGCTTGATTGAAATGAAAAAATGTTTCTATATGTGATATAATGGCCGTATACAGGTAAAAAATAATGGTCTAAATTATTCTCTTTCTGTATGCTTCACCAAAATGCTTCCTTTTGAGGCTCTGATTAAAAAGAGGTGCTAATAAAAGCCGAACTTTTTCAGGCATCCTCAGCCCCCACTAAAACATCCTAAACTTGATTATTTAAGCTAGACATGGTTGAAAGTTTTACCATTTCCATGTGGACACACAAGTCGTTCTTTCTGTTAATGGGGCAATCACATTTGACCAGGGGCAGAGCCAGGACACTGGGCCTGACTGGGCCGATACAAAGAATATTATTGGAAAAAAATTTACACAAAATTTTTTACACTAAAAATATTAGAATTTTTTAAATTTGGGGTGGGCCATGACCTAGTCTGGGCACCCCTAGCTCCGCCCCTGCATTTGACACATCAGCATGTAAGTTTTACCATGCACTTGTTGATGGACAAATTCTCAGTACATATTGTTAAAATTAGACTAAACAGAAAAATGGTTGAATATATCCCAAAGTATGCACACATTTGCAGACCTATCACTGGCTTAATTAGCTTACTGAGCACACATTTGCAAACTGCATTTAGAATTCTTTGTTGAAAAAGTTGGTACACAAGGTAATGGCTAGCTAATGGTTGATTGTGATTTCTGTTTATTTTATCTTTGAAGTTGTAGTTTATATTTTGTGTGTTTGAAGTACCATACTACTATAATTTATAAATGATAACTACGATGGTATTTATGAAGTACTTTTATGTTGTTTCACTTCCTACGACTCAAGGAAGGAGAATTGTGTTGCCCCCTACCTTCTTCACTGGTGGTGCAAGGTACATGATACAAAACTACCAAGATACAATGATGATTTGTAGATGAGAGGGGTATCCAGATTTGTTTATCACGCAAACGTGCAACCCAAAATGGCCTGAGATTGACCATTTTTTACAAGATAGGAATCTTAAGTTTGAGGATCGTCTTGATATCGTATGTAAGGTTTTTAAGATAAAGATGGATGGTCTTATGAAAGACTTGCGGCATAATAAGGTGTTTGCTAGTGTTAAAGCAGGTAGATTTTCGATCTTTCAATAAACACACATTTACTTGCTCTATTCTTTATCGTAGTAATTTTTAAAATGCATTTTGCAGTGATTTACACCGTTGAGTTTCAGAAGCGAGGATTGCCTCATACACACATACTATTATGGCTGGCATGTGAGGATAAGTTGCCAACACCAACTGACATTGATAGGGTTATTTCAGTAGAGATTCTCGATAAAGTCGAGGACCCACGATATTACAACGCAGTTCGTGATTTTATGATGTATGGGCCGTGCGATATATATGCTAAGTCGGCACCATGTATGGCTAATACTAAGTGTATCAAGCATTTCCCTAAAGTTTGGTGCGATGTCACGACAGTTGATGGTGACGGATGCCCGATTTATAGGAGAAGAGACGATGGTCGAACTATTGAGAAAAATAAAGTTCCGTTTGACAATCGATTTGTAGTTCCGCACAATCGGTTTTTGTTGATGAAATGTGGTGGCCATATCAATGTCGAGTGGTGAAACCAATCTTGATCCATTAAATACTTATTTAAGTACATCAATAAAGGACGTGATCGAGTGACCGCAAGTTGTTTTAATAGTGCGGCTGCAAATGAACAAAGTAAACCGGTGGATGAAATCAAAATGAGTTACGATTGCCGGTACATATCTCCGTGTGAGGCTGCATGACGTATTCTTGGATTTGAGATTCAGTATAAAAATCCACCCGTTGAACGTCTTAGCTTTCACATGAAAGGAGAACAAACAGTGATCTTCCGAGACAATGATCCTCTTGATTCTGTGATCAGGGTGAGGAGTGTTAAGGATAAAACGTTTTTGGGTTGGATGGAGGCTAACAAAAAGAACGAAATGGAATGACAGACAACATATGCTGAATTCCCTTAGAAAATTGTATGGAAAAGTGAATAAAGGGAATGGATGCCAAGAAAGAAAGCAATTTCCATTGGGCGAATATACTATGTTCCACTAGGATGGGGAGTCATATTATATGAGATGTTTATTAAACCATTTTCGGGGAGTGACGTGTTATGAAGATTTGAGGACCATAAGTGGTGTGTTGTATAATTTATATCGTGAAGCTTGCTACGCTTTGGGGTTTCTAGACGATGATAAAGAATTTGTTGACGGTTTTACTGAGGAAAGTGATTTCGCGACATCGTTTGCACTAAGGATACTGTTTGTGATATTGTTGTGGTCTGAATCCATGAGTCAATCCAGATATGTTTGGGAGAAATGTTGGATATACATGGCAGAAGATATTCAATACAAAGTACGTAAGATGTATCAACATCCAGGTATATGGCAAACTCCTTTTTTATTTTACCCATTACCACATCGATTTCATTGTTTTGTGTTGTCTATGTTTTGTGCATTAATATGATTGGTCTTTCATATGACATTCCATGTAATGCAAGATTGGTAATGGACAACGAGCAATTGCAAATGACAGCATTAACGGAGGTAGAAATGTTGTTGCAACGACGAGGGAAACGTTTACGTGATTTTCCTCCGATGCCATATCGAAAGTCAAGTTCAACTTTATGGAAATAAATTAGTTCAAGAATAGCTCCTATATGATCGATAAGCGATGCATGAAAAACACGGGAGATTGCTTCAAGGTTTGACAATTGAACAACATATTGTATATGAAAAGATCATGCATACTGGTTAAACGGAATGTGGAGGGATGAATTTTGTTTATGAATATGATGGAACTGGGAAGACGTTTGTATGAAGAAATCTATGAGCTGCATTGAGGTCCAAAGGGGACATAATACTAAATGTGGCATCAAGTGGCATTGCTTCCTTACTACTACCCGGTGGCAGAACCGCCCATTCGAGTTTTGCAATTCCAATGCGTTTGAATGAAGATTCAACCTGCAATACAAAGCAGGGTAGTCTGCTCACCCTGCTAATTACTAAGTGTAAGTTGATAATTTGGGATGAAGCTCCAATGCTACACAAATACTGCTTTGAGTCATTGGATAGAAGTATGTGTGACATTCTTAGATTCACTAACCCAAATAGTTTAAATTTGCCATTTGGTGGGCAGACAATTTTGTTGGGAGGAGACTTTCGTCAAGTGCTACCTGTAATCCCGTAAGGAACTAGGCAAGACGTTGTTAATGCTACAATTAATTCATCTTATCTGTGGGGGGAATACACCGTTCTTAGGTTAACTAAGAACATGAGGTGGAAAAATGTTCATAGCCTTGCAGAATCTTATGACTTGAAGTTTTTTGTTGATTGGATTGCAAGCATAGATGATGGTATTGCTGGTGACTCAAATGACGGTCATGGCTCTATTAAAATTCTAGATGACATTCTTATCAAGTACTCTAGAGATCCCATTGCTAAGATAGTCGAGCTCATTTATCCTGATTATTTAAAATCAAGTACTGATTTGAATTACCTGAGAGATAGAGCTATTCTTGCTCCAATCCTTGAGGTGGTTGATTTAGTCAACGACTATATGATAAGTTTAAATTCCAAGGAAGTGGTGAGAACATACCTTAGTTCAGATAGTGTTTGCAAATCTGATTCAACTCATGATCTAATAGCAGAGTTGCATACTCTAGAATACTTGAATAGTATTAAACTCTCTGGAGTGCCAAACCACAAGTTAACTTTGAAAGTTGGGACTCCAGTCATGCTGCTGTGTAATATAGATCACTCATTGAGTTTGTGTAACGGGACAAGACTTATCATAACAAAGATGTGTGAACAATTCTTGGAGGGTAGGGTTTTGAATGCTCCATCTCCACCTAGTCTGAAAAGACTTAAAATAGCAAAGTTATTCATCAATTATTCCACCCAATTATATTCTTAGCCACATAACTATTTACATTGAGGGTTTACCTATATCTCTTCTTTCTTTTTAACGGAGTATATTTTTATGTTCATATTACTTTATTTAGTTAGTGGTTACTTGTCTAGTCAAGTACCTTCTAGTTCAATTCGATGACATCGCTATGATATTCTTAAGAAGGAGATCACAAGTTGGAATCTCATCTCAATTCAAAGATGGACGTTTGTGTAACCTTGAACAAATACTCTATACAGAGTAATATTTAGGAAACATAGTAAAAAAAACTTGTCTAAAATTAAGGCTCTTGCTAAAAAGCTCTTTTCGCATACAAATGGGACAATAAGACAGAACAAAACGGCTTTCCACAGTATTGGTCTTGTTCGAGTTGAAATCAGAATGGGACAAAAAATACTCTAGTTTAGTGTACCAACCAAATTATGAATTTTTATGTTTTCACCCGAACCTAAATTTATTGATCTGCTTTGTGTAAGTTTAGTCCGTTATGATAAACTTTTGGTATATGTGTATTTTACTACTCCTTCCGTCCCTTGAAACTTTGTCAAGTTTCATTTTTTTATTCTAACTAACTTTGTCACTTTTTTTAAGTAAAGAGTTTGTGATTCCACTTAATTCACCATCCTCTGCACATATTTTAACTAAACAAATTTTACTTTATTAATCCCCATGCTGGTCAAACATGACCAAGTTTTAGAGGACAAAGGGAGTATTAGACTGGTATATTTGTAATATGGTCTGATCTAGTCTATTTATATCACGTCTGGTATGTGACTGAAATAACTCGAAACGAAAAACATCCTTTAAATTGAAAGCAATAAAGTCCATGCAGTAAAATAAAACATAATGAGCCAGGTATAGGGTTCTCGACTTCTCGTCACTAATGAGGTGGATTTGGTTGGATTTTCTCAAATGATAATCTTCGAGCTCCCAAACTCTGATACCATGAGCTAGCATGAGTGGTCGCGCGACTAATGCTTCATCTCACCTCAAGCGAGAATTAGCTTCTTGTGTCATTTTTAATGGAAATTTTACGATAGAAACAGTAAAAATTAAAAAATACAGGTAAAAACATGAAAGTAACTACTCTTAAATAAGAGTTACCAGTGAACCGATGTGCAATTGACCACATAAATATTTTCCAAGAATTATAGGCTTATAGTAGCAATATTGAATATGATGTGTATAGTTTGAGTGTGTTTAACTTTTACATATTACCAGCGGTTAGGGGAATATATAATAAAAATAAATAAATAAATGAAACAAAATAGGTAACTCGGACCATAAAGCTGGTGCATTATCACCTTTACTCATTATTATTATCATCATCATTACCTCAGCGCCGCAAAGGCACCCACACCTTCACTAACACCTTAATTCATTTAATTTTTTTTGAAACTTTTTAATGTAACACTCCGTACTACATATATTGTATATTAACATAACCAAACATTCCAACCCAGCTGGTTGCGAGGTTACCGTGCCTAGTGAGAGGTCTCGAATTCGAAATTCGCTAGGCATATAAGGGGTTTGAAACTCAATGGAGTGAATTTTAGCCCTGATTACTGTAGGCCCCCCGACCCCCTGGAGTAAAAAAAATTGTATATTAACAACGTAAACCTATCTTTCTGTAACAAATAATACATCTATTCTATGTAAAAATGTAATTTTTTCTACTATAAATTAAAATACGTTTATAAAAAAATGTCCCATGATTTCGATGCACCAACTTTATAATTAGTATAAATTTTAAAAATTAACCGAAATTGTTATTTAATAAAAAGCTATAAATGTTTAAAATTTATGTAATTAAGAGCCGGTGATAGAGTATATGGATCCAGATCCCATGAACCACATACTCAGAAGACTAAGAGGAAGCACAACTCGCACCCAGATGGTTCTCCATCGACTAGATGGTACTCCATCGGCCAAACTCAAATCAGTCCAGAATATGGTCCAGAAGCCCAAGAGAGCAGCATGGTCCTCCATCGGTCTGACACTCCGTCGGCCAAAGAAGACCTCACAGAAACAGATTTCATTAGTCTATATTTCGAATTGTATTCAACCCAGTAGAGGCCTTATGTTGTAAATGGGTCTCCCAAGTCCTGCGCAACCCATATTTTCCCTATAAATACCCCCTTTTGGTGTAGTTGCAAGGGGTTGAGTAATATTAATTGCACTTCTCTCTCTAGCTCTCATTTCTCTCTAAACTAATACTCTATCAGCTGGTTTGATAATATTAAAATTGACTGAATTGGTTGATTGTGCCAAAATTGATTATTCATGACCGAAGCGGCTGAATTGTCTAAATGCCTGAATCTGCTAAATTATGAAAAAACTATATTTAAAATATATTTTACTAATAAAATAAAGATAGAGATTATATGAAAATTGACATAATGTTCCTCTTAGACCATTTGTAGTGGTTGGGAGTCCAAATTGTTAACAAGTCCAACCTTACTTATTTTAATTATAACACAATTCAACACACTACATTACAAAGTCACATGTTTGGTGAAAAAGTAAGTTGATAAGACAAAAAAAGAGTCACCAAACATACTTATATTACTTTATTGGTTTATAAGACAAAACAAGACTATTGGTTTGATTTTTCAGTATGTAACTGAATACAACTCTCGAAAATTTTCCCGCGCTCTATTGCTTCAGCTTGTTTCCTATGAACCTTTCCAACAATGCCTCCTAAATCGGATAGCGCTGAAGTGTACCTTGATAGACGTCAGCGAGAAAAAACGCAGGGCCGACTGAGGCAGGCAACGATTAAAGATGTAGGGTTGATGATTATTCAACTTGCACGAGCCTGTATCGCTCTTTCTCCGTCGTAAAGGGAAGCGGCCGTCTCTAGGTTTTATGCCTAGCAATTTGTACCGGCGATAACATTCGTTACCAGTCTTGTGAGACTTTCGTACAAGGATCTATTTTGCGGCTTCATGGTGTCAGTGGAGAACGTTGTAGAGCATCGAGACAGGGGTTGGTTTGGCCGCTCATCCGTAACACGTGTGTGGCGAAGGCCTTCAGCAGGCACCGTGATCCGATTTCATAGGGCGAAGCGGCTCGCACCAGGCACCCTAGGCTTTGTGAGGTCTCTTTGGGAACGACGAATTCATTCATCGGCAAGGAAGACAATGGCAGATAACAAGGCAATGGGATTCATGAGGAGGGCGAAAGATCCAGGATCGAAAAAATTCAGGGCCGGTAGCAGCGTTCTCATACGGGCAAAAGAAGACAAAGAGATGTTAATCCGTCCCCCTCCCGAACCGCCGCCATGGAGGAATTGTGCGACTAGGGTTTGGAAGATTATTTCTATTTCTGATTCAGTTTGGTTGTGTTTTTACTTTGAGTTTCATGTTGTTTTGTTTGTGATGTACGTTTATCTTTGCCAGACTCTTGCATTAGGTTGGGGTGATGAGAGGTTTACTCTAACCACGTTAGGCTCATGTAGACCCATTATAGGATTAGCGTGCCATATTGCTTTTTCCAGGGTAATTGGTTCTAAGTCTGGTTCGAGGGTCGGTGGTTGAAAGTGGTCCTTTTATCATCTTGTTCCCTTGTTTAATGCTTTGATATCAATTTAAGCCGCTTTCTTCTCAAAAAAATGAATACAACTAATTTAACACGTTAATATAACTAATTTAACACGTTTATATTACTTTAGGAGTCACTTTTTCATTTAAGTAGGTTAATTCACTTCTTGGTTTAACTATTATTATTACATTCATGTTACATTATTATTATTATTATTATGATCATATAATTAAATGATTATAATAGTAAAACACCGGAGTATATTTAAACAATTATTATATCACCAATTGCCCATTAACATTGTCAATGCAAAATACATACAAAAAGGGATAATTTGAGTTTGCACCCCACTTTATTGTCGAAATTAGACTTTGCACCCCGTTTTTGAAATCCTTAGTATTTGCACCCTAACCCCGTATGAAAAGACAAGAATGTCCCTCGATCAGAAATATGTTGAAGGCCAACAAAATTGTTAACTGAGGGGCATTTTAGTCTTTTCATACGGGGTTGGGGTGCAAATACTAAAGATTTCAAAAATGGGGTGCAGAGTCTAATTTCAACAATAAAGTGGGGTGCAAACTCAAATTATCCCATACAAAAATACATTAATCTCAACTTTTCTAAATTAGAAGTATATATGGATGACAATACTTTAGCATATTATTATATACATTAAGTAAATATTTATACGTATATCATGTGCCAAACATTTATTTCTTTGATTTATTACAAAGGTCAAGAGGCCAATTACTTCAGACTCAATCACTATCACGTTGATTCCACATTAAAGTCATAATACATTTATATTTATGACACACATGTCAAAGACATTTAAAATATTTTTACTAAAACTGATTTTGACCATTGACCAGACCATATTTATTTAAACAAATGAGGTCAAATTAGACCATAGATTAAAACAAATCAGATTAAATCAGATCAGACTTGAACAATAGTAAAATTCACATTCACCGATCATTAATTGTTAGCTTAGTCTAGTTTTATTTTGTAATTTTACCTATGTAATATTGATGTCATGTAAAAAATAATAAAAAATTATTTAATTTGAAACAATTAATGTAAAGATGGTAGAAAAAATAAAAAAGTTAGGACATTATTAAAAAATGATTGTTTGTCACACGACACCAAAGTATTGGGTGCAGAGTAATTTTTGAAATTGATAAAAAATTTATAGGGGCCTAACTTGTGGTGTATGAAGCTTTTATTAAAGGGCAAATTTTAATTTAAAATTTATTAAAAAGTGAAAAGGGCAAATTAGTCTTATTAAAGTTACATTAAGTAATAATGGAGGTGTGCATAGCAAGTAGCTACCCCGGAAGAATATATCTGCTCCATGTGTGGTGTATAAATATATATATGTAGGCCTCTTAGGGTTAGGGTTTTCCTCTGAATCATCACCTGAACTAAACAATCCATCTATACTTGCCTTCCATCACTTTGGGATTCTATCCTCGATCTCTCTCTCTGGAAAACAAATGAAAAGGCACAAAGTGGTTGTGAAGAACGAATATTCACAAAGCTCCACAGCTTCTTTATCTGTTCGCACCGTCATCAGGTACGGGGAGTGCCAGAAGAATCACGCCGCCAACCTCGGGGGCTACGCCGTGGACGGCTGCCTTGAGTTCATGCCCAGCGGGGATGATGCTATCGACGGCGCCCTCACCTGCGCTGCCTGCGGCTGCCACCGCAACTTTCATAGAAGGGAAGTCGAGACTGAAGTCGCCAACGACTCCTCCTCCTGCTAATCATCATCATCATCATATACATGGTAGATCATGTGTGTGTATAAATGAGTATTTGTATGTATATGTGTATATATATATATACATATGTGTGTGTAGGATCCACTTTCAATGAAAATCATGATTCATATACACTTTTATGCTATTTGATTGGGTGAATTTGAATTGTCATTCAATTTTTCAAAATCATTAATGTGTGTACCTCATCATTTCAAATTCAAATAATGTTGATTTTGTACCCGCTACTGAAATAAGATACACACATTAATTATTTTGAAAATAGGATAAAAAGAAAATAATCCTCAAGAAATGACATGTAAGTCAAATCCTCCCCCTATTTGATATGAAGTCCTATATGAAGCTTGATTGTTGCATTTTTTAAAAATTTGCTTCAATTAGGCCAATAATATAAAATAAAATGCAAAATCAGTTTGATAAATAAATCGAATTTTATGATAACATAAAAAAGTAGAACATACAAACTTCATATCTCATCAAATGGGATAAAGGTGATTACTCTTCGCATGGGAAACATGATGTTCGTTTGATCTTGGATCTATGTATGTGTGCATGTATATACATATATATATATATACATAGGTTTCAGATCAAATAAAAACCTTTCTTAACGTGGAAGTTGAAAACCGTTCACTTTTATCCGAATGTGATGCACTTTAAGGGTGATCTGTTGCACTTTTTGAATTTCAGTCGAACCATGCTAAATAAGAAAAATCCGGAGGCATTTTTGTAAATAAGTCAAATATTTCTGTCAATGCGGAAAAGTGCAACACAGAAACGTAATAGTGCATCACGTTGTGGAAAAAGTGGATGGTTTGCAGTTTTCACGATAAGAATGGTTTTTATTTGATCCATACCCTATATACATATATACATATGTATGTGTGGTGTATCTATGAATGATTGGCGGATTTGGATTTACTATATATGCATGTGTATATATATAATTATATATGCTTGTTGATGATGTAATAAAGTAGAATGTGTTTGGATTTCGGGACACACCTCTAACTGTATATAAGTTCCTGGATTTTCATATGTTGATTTGTAATCGTTTCTTTGAATTTCTTCACGGTTTGGCCGTTTGGGACAGATTGTACTTTTAACTTGTTGCAATTGTAATGTTTTGGCTTAATGATTTAGAACACTGCCTTTAAGAGATCTTTTTGTAATTATAAGGTTTACTAGCTTTGACTTCTCTAACACGTTGAACACTTCTCTATTTCATTTTGAAATTCTTCATGATTTGAGATAGATCGAACTTTTCACGTTGTTATAATGTAATTAGTGTTTTGGTTTGATGGTGGAGACACCACCATTCTAAATATTTACTATGATAAATACTACGGAGTTGGAGACTTGTGTTTAATAACAAAAATGGATGTGATTTGAGGATAGTAGAGTAAACAATAATGTACAACTATTATTTACATGTGTTATGTACAATTACTATTGGTGATTAGTACAGTACTCAAAAATGAAGATATTGTATCTATCATGTGCTTGATTGTTTCAGGTCAATATTTAATCATTTATTTAGACAAAATATTAAATTGCAATATTTTAATTGATCAATGTGGACGAAACATGATACTTTGAGGATACCATATAAGTGGACTTGACTTGTAAGAAAGAAATAAGGTTCTATTTAGTGATATTCTGGAAGGGGGTGTGAACTAATGAAAGGGCAATTTTTGTATAAAATTAAATATGGAAGTCATAAAGAACATTATTTACTACTTATTCATACAGTTGAACTTTTTATCATTTAAGTGAGATACAATGATCAAAGACATTAGTCGAATCAACAAGTTTTTCCCGAAAAAGGGGTTGTTAACACATGTATGTATAATTAATAAATTGAACCTAACCCGCACAGGTAGCTCAGTTGGTCGAGTGGTGAGAAAATTGGAACAAGTGACCAAGGTTCGAAACCTACAGTGGCCGTGTGGAGGTTACAGAACCTGAAATAAGGCTGGACCTCTGGTGCGCACGTGTATAAGGCCTATCGTCGCTTTGCTGACTAAGTCACCGTGATTAACCTCCTCACCATCTTGCCGGGTCGGGGTGGGGGGTTACTGGGGTGGATGATTCCACATTTTGGACAAAATAAATTGAACCTAAATTGCCATAGATAATATTTTTTATTAAATGGGAAGTGTGTATTGACACATTTTTATGGAATGAAAGTTTATAAGGGAAATATACCTCAATATTATTAGTAAAACTCGATACTTTTCCTAAAATATGACTATACATGTTTTTGTGTGTATCATGTGACGAACACTTACCTGAGAAGGTTAATTGGAATTGGTTTTAGTAATATTAGTGGTAGTTAAAATCTCTAATTATAACGTACAACAATTCTATCGTCATCAATGTGTATGAGATCATGACATTAGACTCCAATAAAACATAATCGATCATTCCAATTAACCTTCATTGCTACAATGGGCTGTAATTTGAATTGTATTCACCAAAGTTATTTCAAGCAATTTAAATATATAATCTTTACCTGGCCTCTCCATTGAGTCTCACGTGCAAGAGGAAAAAAAAAATGAAACCTTGTTTTATTTTGTTGGTCAAACATGCATTGAGTATTTTTAGCCACATATTCGATCACTACACAAAATTAAGTGTAGAGTCACTGCTTCTATAGGAAGAGCTTTATATTGTTTTTCGCCACTCATCTTTGCAAGAATTTAAATTTTCAAGTACATCTTGTCACTTTCGATTATTATATTCAGATGCAAGTCGTATAACATGGCAAATGAAAAACAATGGACTTGACAAAATACAATAATAAAATGAGTTCACAAGTCCTATTACGAGAGCAAAAATGACACTTTAGAGTTTAGAATAACTTTGTCATTGTTATTAAAATACCACACTTTATTATTGCATATACTTCTACGTTTCTAAAAGAAACTCACACTTTACTTTTTGAGTTATTTCAAAAACAAAGTCACACTTCTATTTGCCGAACCTTTTCAGGATGGAGTGACTCTAAATTTAACCAATCTGATCTAGTCTGATTTAGTCTAATTTTGGTGTGATGGGAATGAATTAATGAATCCATGTGAAAAGAGGTTCTAGAATCTTCATACATACAAGATAATACAGTGAAGGCTTCTGTCTATGTCATCCGCCAGCTGTGCTTTGGAGATCAATTTCGAGAGGCTGAGGATCCTCTAATAATGCCTAACAAACGCAACCTCAGCCACACACTCTATGCGGAACCAGAACCATGTCGATTATTACTGTTGGATACGCTGTTTTTTGTTTGTTTGTTTGGCATGAAAGAAAATGTTGGGAAAATTCAGTTGCCACGAACAACCTTTGCAGCCGGTGGCCGTGCATGTCAGGCGACGTCGCCATCATCGGCCAAACATATGTTTTGAGGATAGCAATGATCAAGAAGAAGCCGGAGCTGTACAGTGTGTGCCGAACAGGGAAGATGATGGCCACTAAACAGATATGCGGTGCCAGAAGCATGTTGGGCATGCATGATATATACATGCATGTATATCATATGCATACATGTGCTGATGCAGGATCCATTAGACCATGATCCATAGTTTTTTTTTCTTTATTTCTTCTCAAGTTTGGTGGTATGAAGTTGGATGGAGTATGTTCAGCTAGCCAGCAACCGATTAGGTATGTGTTACTCATCGAGCTGGTATATGTCAATTCCTCCACCATGTTTTCGATCATATGCACTACTTAGGGAAATTTTGAGATGGGAATGTATAAATATATACTCTCGAGAATAAGTTTGGGGAAACTCCAAAATAAGAGTAAAAATGTTTCAGAATTCCAAAATAAGAATGTTATGTTTTTTCTTCATATAAATTGTTATTGTCATGATTGAAAAATACTGTTCTGTCATGTTATGCATAATAATGCAACTGTTTTGACAATAATAACTCTAAAATGATGTACAGTATATACTTTCATTTTACTCTTATTTCATTAAGAAAAACATAACAGTCCTATATTGAAATTTCAAAATATTTTTACTGATACTTCATGAATTTTTCCAAGAAGTTTTTGCATCCTTTTTTATGTCTCAAATTAAAGTTCTCTTTTTTTATTTTGTAAACAATTTTTCATCAATTTACTCCATTATCCAAAGTTATAAAAACTCCACATTGTCAAGTATTACTAAACAGACTCAAATAGTGCGCTCTATGAAATTTTTTACCAAAGGACTTTTTAGGAAGTAAAAAAAAAACCATTCATTAATTGCCTAGATATTTCTTTTATACACATTGTGAGTATAATGGATCTCATCTCGAAACATTAGGGTTCCCGAGGCCCAACGTGTAAGGAGATGTGGCTATCCCATTGACAACGAACGAGGCCGGATCGGAGCTACCTGCTTTGTATTCCGTTGTATAAGCCTATGTGGCCCATTAGGATTTTTTTTTTTTTGCAATTTGGCCCATTAGGATAATAATTAAAAATATACACCTTTTCTCCTATAAATTAAATAGGACATCCCTACATAAATAGGATCTGTTCTTATCACCTTCTTGATAAGTCTTGTGGTTTCTACCTTTTAATTTTTAACATCAAAATGATGTGTCATACCTTATTCCCGTTTTGAGTGAATATTTTTATAGATTTGAACACTAAACCGTGTATTGAATTAACCTCAACACACATGAATTAAAAGTTTTACCAAATTTGGGGTGAATAATCATGGCCTCGCATGAGCCTTTAAGTATGTCTTTGTACAGATACACACCCACACAACAAAATTATTACCAGTCAGTTTATTACTTACATACTAGTATTTTTTACTTATGGTGCATTACTAATAGAAGAATATTATTTTGTGTTGAACTACCTGCTATTGGATGTGTATTTTGGAGCTATTAAACCTTTTTGCTTCATAATTGATGCCCTTTGAAACCTTTATATTTTTGTTATGTTTAAGTTTAATGTTTGAATTGCACTTGGATATTTTTGTGATATTAGAACATTAGGATATCATGGATGTGTATTGTAATGGTCATAATTTCATTATTTGAAATTTGAACTTTTTATGTAACTGAAAGTAAAATGTGTTCATTGTAAAGGATAATAAATTTTTATCAGGAACCGAAAAAGTTAAGAACCGAACCGAATTTAACTAGAACCGAACCGAATTTAACAGTTACATTTTTAACCAGAACCAAACCGAATTTAACACCTACAATTTTTAATACGTTTCCATCGAATTTTAATAAGAACAGAACGATCCCAGATCTAGTTTTACCAAATTTGGAGTGAATAATCATGGCCTTGCATGAGCCTTTTAGTATGTCTTTGTACAGATACACACCCACATAAGAAATTGAGTAAAATATTGACCAAGTTTAGCTGTTACAATTTTCTTTTAAGAGTACGTGAATGAGACGACCGATTTGATTCTATTTTGGAATTGAGTGCTCATATTTGTACTCATACACGTGCATTTTGGAAAAGTTATTAGTGCTCATATTTGAGAGGAAATGTGTTATAGTTTATTCTATTTAAAGAAAATAATCTTTTTAAACATATAGAGAGATCGACAATTTGATTCATATAAAACTGTTTCATGTGTAAAAACTGAGAATTAATTTCGTTCTTTCATTTGTAAATTAAAATAGATCGATCAAATAAATGAGTTTTTAAAACTCAAATGTGGTGGCATTGTAGAAAGAGTCTGTTGTGTAACTCATTATTTCTTGTGCAAAAGTGTGTAATTAACAATCAAAATAAGTGAGATGAAATTGCTTTTCTTGCTGAATGGTTGAATTTGTGAAAAAGATGATTTGACTTTTTCTATATCATACTATTTCTTCATTATGTTCTTCAAAATTAGTAGGTTTTGCTTTAGAGGCCGTTTCGCAACCCTCATTTTCGGCTTATCAGGCTTATCAACCAACTTTTTTACCAAACACGTAAATTTTGCTTTCGCACGCTGAATTGTGTAATAAGCCGAAAAAATAAGGTTGGAGTTACTTTTTCTGGCTGTATTGGCTGAAGTTACTGTAGATGACCATTTTAGCTATTTTTACATATAATTTTTTCTTTATTATATTAATAAAATATATTTTAAAAATATTTTTTCTTGTATCAGCAGAATCAACCAATACAGCCACTTCAGCCAGAACTTCATAAATTTAAGCAGAATCAGCCAGAACAACCGATTTTCATGCTGCCAAACGGGCTCTTAGTCGATATATCATGTCATTTCAATTTTTGTGTAGATTCATGTCATTGAGATCGACAAAACGTTCTAAATAAGAAAAACATTTAATCGACTCGCTAAAATAAAAGTGAGCCATTATATTGATAAATGATAAGCTCCACTAGAACATATATATAGAAAATGTGCATCAATAGATGTACAAAATAGATATGCAGAAATGATATACTAATCCGTATAAATTTTTATATAAAGAAAACATACACTTACATCATCAAAGATGTACTTTTATTAAAAATGCTCTAATAGTCTAATCCATCTGTTTTTCATATAAAAGGCCTACTAATTATTCTTGTTTTTTTACTATAAGACCCCTATTCAATGACTTGGTTGAGCTTAAACTATATAAATATATAGTCATCTTTAAGACTTTGATCAATTATATATTTTTATTGAAAATCGTTTATTATATAAAAGTAATGTGAAAATGTTCTTTGTTAAAATTACTTTCATAAAAGTGTAAAATTAAATTTATAATTTTCATAATATTATACTCCATTACAATACAGAGGCCTTTTACACTTTTATAAATTTTATTGTTTAATTTATATCAAGTGGAGGACAAATATTATAAAGTTTAATATTTTCAATTCTTAATATTCGAATTTTACATTATTCAAAGGCCTTTTACAAAAATTTGACTCGAGCAAAAAAATTGGGGGTTCCTATAAGGCTCAAGTCAACATTTGTTACCCATCCGTGTTAAACTTCCAGAAATTTTACCGCAACTTGTAGTCTTGTATGATAGCTCTTTGAGCGATTTGCCTATTCACTTAATTGCTGTTATCGGTAAGTTTGTCAACCTTATGATTTACTTCAATCAGGGGGCAGACCCTTAGATCTGTGGAATAACTTTGATTTGACATGTTATGACTTTCCTAATTCATTACGAGCAAAAAGTTATAAGTTCTAGAAATTCAGCACTGTCTAAATTCGAAACGTGTAAAATTTGATGCGTAATATTGATTATATTCTCAAATTTAAAAAATAAAATCTAATATACTCATTACCTACATGAAATTTGTAATGTATATGACGTATATATCAAATTTACACTACAAGGAAACAACGATACCGGCATGATTTGATATGAATTGATCGAATTTGACAAGAATAATAACATATTTTTGGCATGACGTCGTACCAAATACTTGGTGACAAAACAACATTGGCATGGAATTTGGCCGGATTTAGGGTTTCCGTGTCAAATCCATGCCAAATACCTATAAATTTTGGCTAATCCGTGCTAAAGATTCGTGTCAAGTCCACGTCGAGATCATTGTTTTTTGTAGTGCTATAACACTACCGATCTCATTTAAATTAGAGAGTATCATTTATTTGAGCTACATATGAAACATTCCTATTAGATGAGTTCCGTCTGCACAATGAAAAATGTTTCCGAGCTATCTAAAAATGCAAACACATAATATCATAATGATCGACATAAATAATGTTTATAAAATAAAAGTACCAAAAGCGACAACTAATTAATCAAGATGCATGATCATTGAGTTTATTCTCTTAATCTCTTGTAGTCTATGCAACAGTTCTCGGTCAAAAGAACCAAGTCAAATTCTTCACCGTTTTTTTACATTTTTTTCGTATTCCGTGCTCACTATTTTATTACGGAGTATTATCTATTCCATTCACGTTTTGTAGTCCATGGCTTTGTTATATTTTGTCATCTCTGTTCTAGTGCTTTAAATTTTCATTTTTATTTCCTACTTCTTCATCTACTGTTTTTTATACTTCTTCTAGGTACACTAGCTAGCTATTGTTAGGATCGTATTCGATCTTTTCCGACTCAGGTTTCCAACCTTTCACTCCACTCACACACACACCACTTTAGGCTAGACTCACTCCACCATTCAACATGTTTACGATCGTCCCAAGCTTCCACACAAAGGGCCTCAAAGAGGAAGGAGAACACTATGCTCTCAATTCTCTGATTTTACATCTCACACACACAAAAGAAAGGGAAGGGTCTGCTCTCTTTAGTTTCTCACGCAGGACAAGTCTCAGAGGAAGAGGCTAAGACTTCTAATAATAGGATGTTGGCCGCTTGACAACTCACGGGTAACACCAAGCCAAAGGGACAGATTGCCATGGACAAACCAAGGGGCCAAAGCCAGATAAGAGGTGAGTCAACGGACAGGAGAGGATCAATAATAGGAATGGAACAATGGGAGTAAACATAGGGTGCAAGTCAATAATAAAATGAAAAAGAGACCTTAGTAGGACCAATACCTCCAACATTCTCCACCTTATTGGTCCTAAGTGGTGTAGAGTAACAATACAAGGTTGTTAGGAGACTCATCATCGCCGAACCATTACAAGTACATAATGCAGATAATACAAGTAATAGATGAGAACCAAAGTTCCCTTTCGGAACACGCTTACCATGCAAACCCAAATCATAATGGACTGAACTCTACCAATCGGTCCTCGAGTTCAGAACCGAAACCATCACGAAACTATTAACAAACACAACGCATGTTAATAGACCACGCAAGCAAGCAAGCGGGAGAAGTTGGGGATTCCAACTAATCCAACAACCACACAAAGCAAGTACATAGAAAATAAAAGAAACAATATTATTTCTATAACTAGCACAGGAAGAGCTCACATAATAACTTGGTATCACATTTTCAAAACACAATGAAAATAGCATACCACATATCACAAAGATTTTAATCAAAAGAGAATTAAGCACATTTAAAGCAAACTCAGAGGAAATATAGTCAAACACTTTGCATTTATTATTTCTCTCATGCTCCCTAATGTCTCTATCTCTAATAACATGGCAATCACACAACTCAAGCATATTGCACATAACATTCAAATCATGCTCCACCTTAATAGAAATATTATTTTCTTTATTTTCAACTTGAAAAACATTTTCAGGCACAAATTTGGGTTCGGTTCCAACAAGTAAATCAGAATGAAATTCAACAGGCAAATGCATCACCTCATTTGGCGCAACATCAGGAGAAACAAGCAAGCAAAGAAATTCATTTTCAACAAAAATGACATTTCTACTTAGCAACACATTAAAGTACGTTTCACTCCTACACCAAAGCCTATAACCTTTCATGCATTCATTACATCCTAAGAAAACAAATTCCTTAGTCCTGGGTTCAGATTCATCATTCTCATGATTCACATAAGCAGCACAACCAAACACTCTCAAATTTGTCAAGTCAAGCGGTTTGCCCGTGAACACAGATTCAGGGCATTTCCCCCTTAAGGGAACAGACGGGACATATTAATCAAATGAGCAGCATAACAAATAGCTTCCCTCAGAAATTTTTAGAGAACCCAGATGATGCTAACATAGCCCTCACCCTCTCTAAAAGAGTTCTAACCATCCTCTCAGCAACCCCATCCGGTTGGGGTGTGGAGGGAACAAATTTATGCATAGAAATACCCCAAGTATCACATAAATCACCAAGCTGATTATCACAAAAATCAAAACTGACATTTGTCCTTAAACACATTATTTTCTTACCGGTTTGATTTTCAACAAGGGTTTTCCGGTTTTTAAACTTATCAAAAACATTAAATTTATTCTCAATCTCTGATACCACTGTTAGGATCGCATTCCGTCTTTTCCGGCTCAGGTCTCCAACCTTTCACTCCACTCACACACATCACTCAAGGCTAGACTCACTCCACCACTCAACATGTTTACCGTCCCATGCTTCCACACAAAGGGTCTCAAGGAGGAAGGAGAACACTATGCTCTCAACTCTCTGATTTTACCTTTCACACACAAAGGAAAGGGAAGAGTCTGCTCTCTTTAGTTTCTCACGCAGGACAAGTCTCACAGGAAGAGGCTAAGACTTCTAATAATAGGATGCTAGTCGCTTGACAACTCACGGGTAACACCAAGCCAAAGGGACAGACTGCCATGGACAAACTAGGGGGCCAAAGCGAGATAAGAGGTGAGTCAACGGACATGAGAGGATCAATAATAGGAATGGAACAGTGGAAGTAAACATAAGGTGCAATTCAATAATAAAATGGAAGGGAGGCCTTGGTAGGACCAATACTTCCAACCGCTATTCACTATCATATTGTTTTATCTGCTAAAAACACTAGTGGAACAAATAAATGGAAATGTATGGAGTATAAATGTAACATTTTGTGTGTTTAACTCCATTACTAATGTACATAGTTAGTATATTTCATGTGTAATCCATTATATACGTTAAACGACTGATATTTGAGACTTATTTGAGGGAATGTTTTTAGGTGACAACTCTGGTACCTTTCTAAAAAATGAGGTACCGTACCTATCATTCATTTGATTGGACCACATCACTTTATCATTTTTAATTTAGATTTAATAATTCAACTGCTACATTCTCATTGATCCATGTAGATAAAGGTATGGTACCTTATGTGTACCATAGAATCTACCATGTTTTTATAGGCTTATAGCTATTGTGATTTGAATATCAAGATGGATTTGTTAGGTCGTAGTATCAAACTTGGTTATTTATTTATTCTCATGATGCAAACACTTGATCTTATAAACATGAGTGGATGGTTTCCCCAGAAAATAGTGAACTCCAACTCACCTCATCTGCCTCGATGAGCTCTATAACCTCTATTGAGCAAAAGCCTTGTATAGGACATATACCATGGATAGGGTTGGATTCGGGCCGGGTCGGGCCCGGGCCGGGCCTAGGCCCGGTCGGGCCGCCGGTTCAAGAACAGTGGGCCCGGGACCGGCCCGAGGGTTGGACGGGTCCGGTTCGGGCCGGGCCACCCGCCCGGGTCACGGGTCGGGTCCGGTTCGGGCCGGGCCGGTTAATTTTTTTTTTTTATAATTTATATTTTATATTTTATAGTTTATAGTTTGATACGAGTATTAAAAACAAACTTCAATTGCATTTATTTGAAATGAAATAGGAACTACATTTGAAAATTAAAACAAACTTTAAGAGATAAACATTTTGAAAATTGTAATCACTCGGAACTTCCCGCACCTCCCGATCCTTTGGCTTTGTCACATGACTTCATATGCTTGATTGCCATCCCGAATCCGCCTGAAGCCCCCATAATACATTTTTTTCGCACCATTTACAAATTGCGTACCACATCCCGGTCTTCGGGTCCTTCTGCTTATCAAAATTATACCGTATAATGGCATTTTGATTTTCCATCTTAACTTCTTGGAGGAGAATTAGAGAGTAGATATATAATATATTGGAGAATAAGAGAATTAGAGAGTAGAGAGTTAAGAATAGGATTTAGGAAGAATTGGAGAAGAGATATGAAAAAATGTTTAAGAGTAGGAGAATTTATAGGTTTTTTTACCCCACCCCCCCCCACCCCCACCCCCTACCAGCCAACCCCCCCGGACCCCCCCTTTACCCCACCCAACGGCTATATAGCCGTTTGGGTTGTCCCCAGCCCCACCCCCAAGGCCTCAACGGCTAGTAGCCAAAAATAAAAATAAAAGTTTTTTTTTTAAAAATAGACCCGGACCCGAGCCCGGGCCCGACCCGGCCGGGTCACAAAAATGATGAACCGAGCCCGCCCCACCCCTTCCCCCCGGTTCGGGCCCAGACCCGGTCCCGGACCGCCCGACCGGGCCGGTCCCGGGCCCGCACAGTACCGGGCCGGGTCACGGGCCGGGTGGCCCGAACCGAATCCATCCCTAACCATGGACAAAAAGAATCAGTTTAAATCATCACCTAGTCACTTTGTCGAAATCAAAATGCTTTGTAATTTAGAGCGCACAGCTACCAGACGCTTCACAAAATTGAGTGACAAGAATACTGAAACACTGATCCTTCTTTTGTTGCCATCACTGAATATCTTTGAAACATTCAAGATTCCTCCAGGACATGATTTGTTGCACTAGGATATAAAACAAGGGTCAAACTCGCCGATAATGGTGTCACAAGAGGATTGCAGGTTACCAAAAACGTTTAACATCTTACTCTGTTCAGCAGTGAAGCCGGGAAGTAGGGTTAGAGAATTCATACCATATTCTTTTCTTATGGGTTGTTATTGTGTACCATGTTTAGGTACATTGTTCGTTTAATTTGTGTATTGCACTCTCCTTTATAGTAACCACATCCAGGACCTGGTTTTCCACCTGGTCAATCGCCCCACAAAATCACCCATTTAATTTGTGTCTTGCCGATTCAAGAGCTGAAAACGGAAAGTGACTAGGGTTATTAGAATGAGAACACAGCAGAACCAGTTTTCCCACTTTTCCTGGTTTACTACACAACTTCTTGTATTTTTGAGAACCAAAATTATGACATTGGTTAACATATGGGTTCAGAGGCTCAGGGCGCCTGCATTTAGCCTCATGCTTCTGCTATTACCAGCTTACATATCCAAGTTCAATTATTTTCACTTACTCGGATATGGTTGTCAACTTGTCATACTCAGATAGACACGTACAATGTTTGGGGCAGACCCGGTATTGTTTAAAGAACTGCAATAAGCAGTTCACGGACCGGAATTGACAGAACTGGGCAGTGAGTAACAGAGCCAGATGCCCAGATTTCGGTTCCGAATGGGAATTGCTCAATACTGGTTCACGGACCGGAATTGACAGATCAGAGCCCATTTAGTTTTTTGAAAAATAGGGTAAAAATACTCGAACCAGAATCAGCTTAGAACCGGAACCATTAGCCCGACTAAGTTTCAAGTTGCTCCCTAATGCCAACCCAGGCTTCACCTCTGGGTTCGCCCCTAATTCTATATGTTTCCAAATTTCCAATTGTTAAGGGTAAATTTGAAAAAGAAAAACTTTTATTGTAGTTGTGAGATTTGAAACTACAGTTGTGACAACAATATTACTTCATACAAATTAGCTTAAACTATTCACCAAAAAAAGACCAAAAAGTAAACTGAAAAAACTTTACTCAAAAGCCTAAACCGGAGCCTGGATGCCAACCCACATATAACTTCTCAACACTTTTAGATCATTGTTAGCCCCAAAAAAGGTCCTAGCATAAATCAAGTCATCAAGTGTAGGTCTTCAAAGATGGCAAAGCATATACATTTAGGTAATGCTTAGCTCAAACATACATCAATCCATTAGTCCTCACCTGATCTGTCTCGGTTGATTTCCTCAAGAATGACAACAAGAGAAACAATGAAGGCATAATCAACGTTTGGATAGACGGTCACCCCAAAGTTGTCTTTCCCAGCAAGTATGCTCCCAGCCGTGTGTTTCTTGTGCATCTGGGCAACAATTGTAGAGGACCCATCCCCTCCACGTGCATGCACCACACAGGATTTCGCCAACCAACTCCCCTCCACGTAAAAATCACACACCTCTTCTTTAGTGTTCGCTGCTAAGAATACGTCCAACTTTGTCTTCAGCTGCAAAAGAGATGACTTCTTCACACTGAACAAAAGGTCTTTTGAGTCAGTGCTTTCTCCCCTGAATGCTTCCCATCTTCTGTGTGCAGTCAATATCTGTTTAATCCAAGGTAAAGTACTTCACTTAATTCCTTTAATTTAGGGGTGATTTCGAATATGAAAGCTGCCTAGGGGGAAAATAGAAGAAGAGAAATAGAAGGAAAACTCAAAAGGAAAGAAAAAGTATTTCATCATTTCATCTCATTTCATTTTCATTTACCCCAGTGCCGCAAAGGCTCCCACCTACGGTGAGGTAAGGGGAGGTCGGATGTACGCAGTCTTACCCCTGTGTTAAAGCACAGAGAGACTGTTTCCGGATGACCCATAGTGAAAATCGCGTCCAAAATTGCATGGACTGACCGCTGCTCCATAACAAAGAAGCGCAGACAGTTTAGTGAATCATTTTGCTTTATTCCATCATAATCTCAAGCCAAAAAATAATGAATCTTTGGCTCCATTGCAAATGATGGAAATAAAAGGAAAGAAAAAGTATGAGATAATAAAAAGTTTGTTCAAATAAATAAATTTAAGTGAGTTGGATTTAAATTTAAAAATTCACTCATACTTTAAAAGTTGGATTTATTCCTTATGCTTCTGTATTATGTATAGTCTGAAAAATCAAAATAATCAAGAAATACAAAATAGCTGAACAACTTATATATTTCCGCATATTACCACGAAAAAATACTTACTAAAATAATTATTTTCCATAGCAGTTTTTTCTATTTCACTAGTATTTTCCAATTTCCAAACAGAGTCTTAAGAGATACAAGTAGTTTCAAAATAAAATTTAACCTTGTTTTTTTTTCACATTGTTTAAACACCTAAACTCTCTCGAATTATATACTACCTCCAGCTCGGGTAAAAAGAGATCGAATGAATATTGTATACTACCTCCAGCTCGGGTAATGGTCCCAATTGAGTTTACGATATTTGACATGTCATAAATTTAAGTGATCCTTGTGGATAATAAAATTATTTTAGTAAATAAAATTTACATATTCAAAAATTATATTAAAAGTCTTGTAAAGTCGCAAAAAACTCAAATTTGATAAAAATTGGATATATAAAGAAAAAGGTTAAGAAAAAATTACATTATTTTTCATCTAATTTTTTACTCATTAATTAAATATATTTTAAATACGGAGTATAATTTTTCTACAATTTAGAAGAATTAGAAAATTTAATCACTTTAATAAGAATTTCATATTTTCAGCAGTTTTAACCAATTATGTCAATTGCAATGTTACTTAACGGGGTCTTGTGAATAAGTTCTGCTTCACTTGACTTCTATGGATGCCACTTATGAGAGAATGAGCTTTAATGTTATGACTTGAAGAATGCTTCAATGTGGGAATAGGCGGGAATAATTGGAGAAATTTAATTGTCCACTCAATTCCTTTATACTCCGTATTATATAAAGATGACTTGAAGAATGTTTCAATGTGGGAATAGGCGGGAATAATTGGAGAAATTTAATTGTCCACTCAATTCCTTTATATTATATAAAGATGCATATGAAATTTTACATTTTTAGCGAATTAAATTATACTGCATATGAAATGTTACATTTTCTTTTACTGGTATCAACTACTAGTCTACTACTCTTTTGTCTAATCAAAATACTAATTAAATGCAGTACTATAATATTTGACCTTTTAAATATCCACTTATAGTCACTCTTCTTAATAAGTCGGTTAACAGCCTCAAATGTACTACTCTGTATGAGGTTTATTTTGAGCTGATTAATACTTATACAAGTTGAATTATATATGAAGTGATTTAACTCATTGATCTTAACATTAATGCTCCGTAACATTAAATTTCTTGTTAACCTCATAATCAACGAATTCATTGTTGATTAAAACAACTTATATTTAACAAGCTAGTAAGCTACAACATAGATTTAGCAAGCTAAGATCGTCAATCATGTTTGTTCAAGAATTTGATACTCCGTCAAGCAATGAATTGGATGCAAAACATGGACCAGACACAGATCATCTTTGAGATGGATTGTAACCAAGTAGTTGAGGACGTGCATTCAACTCGGGAGGATATTTCAGAATATGGATCGCTTATGGAGGACTGCAAATCCCTATTAGCAACAAACATCAATTTTGAAGTTGTTTTTACTAGACAGAAGCAAATAGTAGCCCCCACGCTTTAGCTAGGGAGTCTATTAATTATGCTTCTCGTACGGTATTTAATCAAGTTCTTAATGAAGAAATGAATCAAAGTCTTTCTTTCAAAAAAAAATAAAAATTGATACTTCTGCACAATGCACATAAACTCATATACTAACTTTTAATTCTTCTACTCGTATTTCATTACGGCCATATTTGAAAAACAAACGTACTATTCCTATTTTAGAATTAACATTGTTTTGACTCTTATTTTACGAAATTTCCCTTGAATTAATCTCGATTTAGGAACTCATAATCCCCAGCTCGGAAAATTTTAGAAAATGAGAATAGTTATACCTTGGGCGTATGGGTCGAGATGGGGCAGAGGTCAGCTGCCCCTTGGCCGGCGCACTTATGCACAGATTAATCAATTGTTGAATCGCTCACCTTTTGCTGGAAAGTAGCGATGGGGTTGTCGGCAGTGTCGAGTAAGATCCGGCGATCTCGAAGACTGAGGAGTTTGCTTTTGATCTTGAACATAACGTTCCCGTTCACGTCTAGCACTTCGAACTTGCCTTCTTGGAGAGTCATTACCTTTCTCACCACGGCCAGATCTACTGGATAGGGAACAACGAAATGCGGACTGATAACCGGCGCCGTCGTCGTCGGCTGTGGCGGATAAAGGGTGCTCGATCCGGCCATCATCACCAGAATGAATGTATTTGCATACAAAGTAATTACACACTCTATGTAATTTTGTTGAGTCTTGAACCCTATTTTGGTACCTATTTGTACCACACTTTTTTTGTTCAAATTGGTCTATCATTTAAATGAGTTATCTCATTTACATTTTGTTCAATTTTGTTCAACAAGGAGTTGTAAATAACCCCCACATCGACTGTGGCGGGAGAAAAGCTAGAAAAGCCTATGACATCATAGCGCGTGCAATCCAAAATTTTGTACCCATCAGCAGCAGGGTTGTTATCAAGTCGAGCCGAGTCCGAACACCCAGAGCTCAAGCTCGACTCGATTCATTAATAGGGGTGTTCAGGTTCGAGCTCGAAGCTCGGCGAGCTTTACAAATGGGACCTGTGTTCGGCTCAATAGACGTTCGATGTTCAAATCGAGCGCTCGATAAGCTCAATAAATGTGTTCAAATTTAAAATTTTAGGTGATGCTCGTTAATAGGCCCATGCTCAAATTATTCGACAAATATTCGGTTCGTTAATAATCATATTTAAATTCATAAAATCATACTAACTATATTTAAATTTTGACATATATATAAATTATATTTATAATTTCAGGGTGTTCGATAGACTCGAGTTCGAACCGAGCCGAATATTACTATGTTCGAGCTCGCCTCGATTAATTTTTCGAACGTAAAACTCAGCTTTGGTTCGAGTTCGAAAGCTCGTTAAGCTCGGCTCGTTAGTGATGGATAGTCTACCCGGGGGTATATATCCGAAGGGTTATTACGGGGAATAACTTAGATAGAAGTCAGAGCAAACAAGTAAGAGAGAGAGTGTATATTCGATATGTATTAAGCGTGGTTACAAATGGGGAAATGGGGTGCTATTTATAGTAGCAATAAATGCCGGACAGGGACACGTGTCAAGCGCTTATTGGCCGAGGGGTCACCTCAACTGGTTGGCGCTGGCAGCCGCATGTGGCCGCATTTAATGCGGCTGTTGGATGGGACGTCTGTGCGGGGTACGGTGATCTGTACGCATGTGAGGCGGATATCTTGTCGAGTGAGATGCCTTCGGCTATAGAGCAGTAGCCGAGGGCTCTTCCACCCGATGGCACCCTGGTGTCGAGGGCTCACAGTGCCGAGGGCTACTGTTTTCGCCGTTTTCTCCCAGTTTCTTAGTTTGCTTGAGAAACCCGTTCTGTGAGAATTTAGAGCCTTCGGCCAGGGGGCCGAAAGCACCCCTAGCGCGTAGTGCGGGCTGCTTGGTACTCTGGGCGCTGTGATTTGGGCCTGTTGGGCCTTCTGGGCCTGTTGGGCCTTCGCTGGAGTAGTAGGAGTCTGTGGGCCGGGGGTTCCCGGGCCATATACTCCATCAGGAGTCCCTCACTCCTTTTGCCGAAAGGTACTTGAGGGAAAAGGAGTAATTTGTGCTTGCCCTTTGATGTTGTCCCGTCGTGATCTCTGAAGTTGGTGAGGAGTTGTTGCTTTTATGTCCCTGCCGAAGGCAGTCCCTCAGTTACCCACATGTCGGGACTTGAGGGCTTGCTTTGTTGTTTGTTGGAATTTCGCAGATTTTGTAATTTAATGATTTTTCCGAAGGGGTCCTCCAGTCCCCCACTCCTTGAGGCACTTGTAAAGTGGTGAAAAGGAGTAAAGTAGTTATGTTGCTGTTGTGGGCCGAAGGCTGACGTTTTTCGTTTCATTTTGGGGGGATGCCTCGTTAAAAACCTCATTAGGAAAAACCCTTTGGGAAAAAATCCTAATGAGGGAAAAAGAGTGCACCGAATTCCCCCAATGATGAATCGAAAATATCAAACCTTGGTAAAAAATGGAGAATGACGGGAATCCCGAAGGCTCTCTCTTCTGAGGGCTCCTGTTTTGATTAGCCGAAGGCTTGCTGTTGATGTCCTGGTGGCGCCGAAGGGGAGCCCCTCAATCCAGAGATTGAGGGCCTGCCAGATGAGGGCAGCAGTGAAGTTGTTTCCAGGGGGTCCACTGTTTGTTGATCAGTTGGTGATGAAGATACCCGAGGGCTCCCATTACCTGTGTGCCTTGGGCCATCCGTCAATGAGGCACTCCCCGGGGGCTACCCGGTTTTGCAGTGCTGAGGGGGAAACCCCGAGGGGTGCCCTGATATGAAGCCCTGAGTTTCTGAGGGAGTGATCCCGAAGGCGTGTGTAATGTGCTGTGTGGGGCACAACCCGGGGGCACTTCTGAGTGAGTGTACCCGGAGGCTATCCTTGATGAAGAGGAGTGAAGTAGAGAACCCGGGGGCTTCCAAAATATAGCCGTTGGAAATATAGCCGTTGGAATATGTAACGACAGGATATAGCCATTGGGGGGTGGCACACGTGGCGTGTGATGGCTGGCTGTCCGTGGGCGGCATCACTGGTTGGGTGAAGATGCGGTGTGTAATGATGGCGGTCCGTCCGGAGGCCCGGAACCCAGGCCCAAGCCCGGATTCCAGCGCCTATAAATACCCCAAGGCCAGGCATTCCTCCGTGTGCGAAAAACTTGTTAGCGAAGCTCTGCCAATTTTTCTAGAGAGAGAAACAGCAGCCCCCGGTTGAATCCTCTGTTCTCAAGGTCAGTGCCCTGCTCCTCTCTCAAAGTTTTTAGTAAGTTCCGCCCCCTGGCCTTAGATTAGGTTTAGAATCCTGTAGAGAGCCTTCGGAGTCTTAGGCTTATTCGTGATAAAAAAATGTCGTCCGAGAGCGATTCCCAGGACATCTCGAGGACGCCCTCGATGGAAGACGAAGGTATCTCCGATGCGGAGTCTAGTAGCAGTCAGCCCTCGGGTGGTGATGCAGCTCTCGCCACCGAGATGCAGAAGGATTTGGCGGCCGAGGTCGAGGCGGAGGAGTTCGAGCGAACTGTCGAAGATGAGGAGTTAGCCCTCGCCGTCCAGGTTGCTGAGGAGGAAGAAGAAAAGGAGAGGGCGAAGGTCACTGTCGCCGTTCTTCCCCCCCCCCCCCCCCCCCCCCCCCCCCCGGGGTTCTGGGGAAGCCAGTAGCTCGAGGCCGTTGGACCCGACGCCGTTAAGTGTAGCCCCCGGGAAGAAGAGGAGTAAGACGAATGCTGCCCCCCGGAGGAAAGTAAAGGCCGTCGATCAGGGGGGCCAGTTGATCTACCGGAGGGTTACTCCTTCCTGGACACCGCCGCTCTGGAGATTAAGTCCCAAGCTGACAGGGCGGACATCTACATCACCCAGTTGCATGTAGGGCCCTCGACCGTGGTAGTCGAGCCAGGTCCTGATAACGTGCTGTCGCGGCCCCCCGAGGGATGTATAGCCGTGCACGTGCTCTCGGTCTCAATGGGCCTCCGGTTCCCTCTCCATCCGTTCCTCCGGGAGTACCTGAGGTACACCGACCTGGTTCCCTGCCAATTGACCCCCAATAGCCACTCGTACATAACTGGGTTCGTGAACCTGTGCAAACTCCGGGGGGTTACACCGAGCTTGGAGCTATTCTTCCAAAGCTTCAACCTATGTCGGGTGGGCCATACCAATGCCGAGGGCTATGCGAACTTACAGCAGATAGCCCAGTTCAAATTTTTCACCGAGGCCCCTTCTTCCAACAAGGGGTGGAGAGAGCGATGGTGCTACATCAGACTGGCCGACAGCCCTTTCCCGAGGGAGTTGCGGAATTGCTTTCGGCGTCATGTGAAGGTCAAGAGCGCCGCCCTCGAGAAGGATGGCCTGAAGATTGCCGAGATTCTAGAGGGGCGGGATAAGAACATAACCATCAAGGAGTGCACCCTCGAGAAAGACCTGTATGCCCTCGGATTCCTGAGGTATCGGTTCATTGGGGAGACCGAGGAGAAGTATCCCCTCTATGATAAAGCCTTCGTGGGAGCAGGAGGTAGTGGCCGGGGGCTTTACATTTTTGTACTTTGAGATTTTCTGTCATGTTTGTTGTCGTTTCTCGGACCCCTCGGTGCTAACCTTTTAACTTGTTGTTTCTTTGCAGGTAGCAGGATGAATGCCAACGCTCTGTTCGCAAAGAGGAAGGGCAAGACCCAGTCCAAGGAGAAGGGGCCCTCGGGCCAGAAGCCAGTCGACGCGCTTTTCCCGAAGGTCATAGAGCCTTCCGCCGGGGACGCCCATGCTGCTGTGGGGACCGGGGGGTCGAAGGCCGAGGCGGCCGCTAAGAAGAAGAGGGGCGACAAGGTGGTGGAGCCCCCCACCAAGAAGCAGAAAGGCGCCGTGGGTGCTGTCGGGGGGGCGGCCCCCCTCATAATTATTGATGACACGCCCGCTGTTGATGGGCCTCTAGCCTCGGTCCCTCCGAAGGATCCGGTGAATCCCCCCGGGAGGAATTACCCCGGGAGATCCGTCAGCTCTCCTTTGCCCCCGGCGCTTCCCTGATGCACGGCACTGCCGAGCCGAGGAGCTTCCTTCGGGGCATCACCTCGAAGATGGACAGGGAAGTCTTCGAGACCTACGATGATGATGCCCTCGAGAACAGGATCCTCCGGTCCTCTCTCACTGTAAGTATCTGCTTCCTTTTCCCTTATCTTATCAGTTTAGTATTATCTTTCCCTGTGGAATAATCTAACTCCTTTGATCGTTGTTTGCAGGCCTGCATAGCCCTCGGGGAACAGGCCCGGAGGCGCGAAGAAAGGCGCCTTCACGAGGCCGCCCAAGATAAGAAGGTGGAGGGGCTGATCCGCAAGAACTCCGAGGCGGTGAAGCATGCTGCACAGCTGGAGGAGGCCCTTCGGGAGGCGAAGGCGGCGGCGGAGAAGGCCAAAGCTGACGGCATTGCCGAGGGCAAGGCGGAGGCCGAGAGGGCTGCTGCCGAGGCGGCGAGAAAGGCTGCCGAAGAAGCCCAAACTGCTAAGGAGAGAGCTGCGGCCGAGGCCCGAGGGGAGGCAGTCGCGGAGTTCCTCGCTGAGGGCTGGAGGGTCGAGGGCCATAAGGAGTGGGTTGCCTCCGTGGTGGCAGCCTCGGTGGACGCTTGGGTAGAAGGCCCGGGGGTTGACTGGCTGACTGACAGGGGGGACGCCTACTACTAGGGGGTGAGTTCTTTACCCAACACCTGATCTACCGGAGGCTTACCAGGCACTTTGGCGTGTCCCTCGAACAATTTGACCCCTCGGTATATGGCCTCCCTCCGCTGCAACCAGATGTCAGAGTTCCCCTACCCCCGGGTGAAGAGCGGCCAACAATCTATGATTCTGTGATGATGGGGGGTGATGGGGGTGGAGCCGTCGGGGGTGATGTTGTCGGAGAAGAAGTCTCCTCCAAGGCTGTCGTGGAAGGTGCCCCCGGTGACAACGAGGCTGAAGCCGCCGAGAAGATTAGTACTTAGTCAATTTTTGAAAAAGCCTTGTAATGAAACTTTTGTCACCCCTCGACTTTGGCCATACTCTGTAATGATCACATTGACTATCTTTTTTGTTGTAATTGAATGATTGCCTTCGGGCTTTGTGTATATGATATGCTTCCTTCTGATCTGTTCATTGTCGAATGTATGCCTTCGTCTTGCTTTGGATGTATGCCTTCTTTTTTTTTGAATGTATGTTTTAGGACTTAGAATGTTTTTCGATTGTAGCTAGCCCTTGGGAGCTCTCGGTAGTTGGGCACCCTCTGCTGGATATGCAACCGAGGGCTCAGCAGCAATTAGGACTTGGAAATTTTTCTAAGTGTAGCTCACCATAAGGCCTTCGGGTGTTTGTAGTAACCCAAATCCTAGGACTTAGAAAAATTTCTAAGTGTAGATTTCCCCTTGAGAGCCTTCGGGATACGGCGTCCCTTCCTGATATGTGAATGTTGGACCGAGGGCCCAATGCACAGGACTTAGAGATTTTTTGCAAGTGTAGTATGCCATGTAGCCTTCGGCTACTGTGGAGCCCCAACTGAAATATTGAATAGGCCAGGGGCCAATTCTTTAGGACTTAGAAAATTCTCTTGAGTGTTGATTCCTTGTGAACTGTAGCCCTCGATTGATAGGTAGCCTTCGGCAATTAGGTCCCTCGAGATGAGGGTGAAATATGTAGGACTTAGAAAATCTTCTAAGTGTAGAGTTTCCCCTGGGAGCCTTCGGGAGGTGGCATCCCTCCATGATGTATGAGTAGTTGTCGGGGGGGGGGGGGGGGAATATGTGGGACTTAGAAAATCTTCTAAGTGCAAAATCTCCTTTGGGAGCCTTCGGGAGATGGCATCCCTCCTTGATGTATAAGTAGTTGACCGGGGAAAAGCATGTAGTACTTAGAAAACATTCTAAGTGTGGATTTCCCCTTGGGAGCCTTCGGGAGATGGCATCTCTTCTTGATGTATGGCCTTCGACTGTCATATTCCTCTAGTTGCAATACTGACTGAGCCGGGGGCCCATCTTTGTTTGCAAGTGTTGTTGTATCGCATAGCCTTCGGCTATTGTATCCCCCTGGCTGTAGTGTTGATTGAGCCGGGGGCCCAATTTTAGGATTTGGAATTTTTCAAGTGTTGTTTCTTCGTGTAGCCTTCGGGTGGTAGGTGCCTTCTGACTCTACAGTACTTTGCGAGATGCCCGGGGGCTGCTCCTTCAGGACTTAGAATTTTTTCTAAGCATAAATTGATGTTGAGTCCTGTTGTTGTGAAGAAAGCCAATGAGGAGTGTGTGCCCTCGGCATACACTCTAAAAGTTGTAGAATTTGACCCTTGTCATGGGGAAAGGGCCCTCTGTATTTGTGCATAACAGATGCCTTCGGCGTTTGTTTGAAGTACCGTTTAGTGGACCTTGGATAGTCCAGTCCCTTTGTATTGTTGAAGCCTTCGGTGTTTTTGTGACCGAAGGTGACCAGGTAGTGGACTTAGCCGTTTCCTGATGATATTTCTTTGAGTAGTATCCTTCGGGAAATAGGAGTCTTCAATTACCGGAGGTGTTCCCGTGGGGAGCCCTCGACATGTTGTGATATTGTTGGAGTGTACTCTTTGATTTCTCGCTGAGTCTACTCCCCTTCACCCCTTTTTTTTTTTGGTTGGTGGTGAAGGGAAGGCATCAAGAAACTTGGTTTCTTGGTAAGGCTGGGCCTATTAGGAGACCATCAGAATACACCAATGGCTCTCCTCCCTCGGGTTAACCTTCCGAGTTCCGAGGGGATCGAGGGACGTTTCCTGGGCACAAGATATGGTGGTCCGTAACCTGCCTCCCCTTGGGGGATGGCGCGGAAAGCGCCTCATTTTTGAAAGTCGTCCCCTCGGCGCTAGACATAGTCCGTGGCCTGCCACACCCTTGGGGTGGTGGCGCGGGGAGCGTTTCGGTTTGGAAGTCGAATCCTGGGCATTTCTCATGCCTGTCATACCCTGGGGGTAGTGACGCGGGTAGCGTTCCGTTTTTGAAAGTCGAATCCTGGGCATTTCTCATGCCTGTCATACCCTGGGGGTAGTGACGCGGAAAGCGTTTCAAGGAAGGGTTTTCATTTGCACACTAGTTGCAAATGGCCGGGGGCACTACGTGCCGCCGGCACCGATGGTGGCGCCTTCGGTATATGCGTCCTCGTGGGGTACGGCTTTTAGAAACAACACTTGGTGTTAGTTTCGATGTGTAGCCCCCGGTACTTGGTACCGAGGGGTCTTCTGTAGGAACACTTGGTGTTCTCCTTTGTTGCAGTTGATGGAGGTGTCTACCCTCGGTACTTGGTACCGAAGGGTCTTAAGTGAAACACTTGGTGTTTCCCAATAGATGTTTGGAAGTTGATAGGAGAGCATCTCCCTGGCACTGGGTGCCGAGGGGTCTTCTGTAGGAACACTTGGTGTTCTTTTTTGTTGTAGTTGATGTAGGCGTCTACCCTCGGTACTTGGTACCGAAGGGTCTTCAAATGAAACACTTGGTGTTTCCCAACAGATGTTTGGAAGTTGATAGGAGAGCATATCCCTGGCACTGGGTGCCGATGGGTCTTCTTTGGAACATCTTGGTGTTTTCCCTTCGTTTTGATGTTTGATGATGGAGGTGTACCCTCGGCACTGGATGCCGAAGGGTCTTCTGTAGGAACACTTGGTGTTCTCATCTTTTCTTTTTTGATGTTGAAGGTGGGGATGTACCCTCGGCACTGGGTGCCGAAGGGAAATGAAACACATGGTGTTCTTTGTTGTTGGTGATAGGAGTTTCCTCCCTCAGCACTGGGTGCCGAGGGGTCTTGACTGAAAACACGTGGTGTTTTCACTGTTTGTTGTAGGTGTTGATGGTGTCCGCCCTCGGCACTTGGCGCCGGGGGGGGGGGGGGGGGGGTTCTTCTCGTGGTGAGGCCTGGGGGCCTGTAGTCAGTATGAGGGCTTGATGTCTTGAATGTATCTTCATTCTTCGAAATTGGAGGCCTTGGGCCATAGGATAGTACATTCACTAGTTATGAGGGCTTGGCCGCTCTTACATTATTGATAAAATTTAACTAAATGGTGTACATTCCAGTGCCTAGGGACTTCTTTCCCATTGGGGCGTTTGAGCTTGTAGGTCCCGGGTTTGATGATGGCTGCTATGATGTAGGGGCCTTCGAATTTTGGTGCCATTTTTCCTCCCTCGGTTGGTTGGCTGGCTTCCCTCCTCCGGAGGACATAGTCCCCCACTTGAAATTCTCGGGTTCGAACTTTGGCGTCGATGTAGCTTTTAACTTGCCTTCGATAGTTTTCTTCCCGGATGAAGGCCTGCTCCCGGCGTTCTGAAATGAGGTGGAGGTCGAGGGCCATGTTGTTGTCGTTGACCTCGGGGTCATACTGGATCACCCTTCGGGTAGGAAGGGTGACTTCCGTAGGAGCTTTGGCTTCAAAACCGTAGCAGAGGGAGAAGGGTGTTTCACCTGTAGCTCGCCGAGGGGTGGTGCGGTAGGCCCAAAGGATGTTGTGAAGTTCTTCTACCCAGCCACCGCCCTCGGCCTCCAGCTTCTTTTTGAGGCCCTCGAGCAAGGTCCGGTTGGCGTTCTCTACTTGCCCGTTGCCTTGAGGGTAGGCAACGGAGGAGAAGGTGTGTTTGATGCCCCATGCCTCCAGAAGGGCACAGAAGGGGGCTGCCTCAAATTGTGTCCCATTGTCGGAGATGATCTGCTGGGGGACGCCAAACCTTGTGAGGATGTTCTTGAGGACGAAGTGACGGCACTTCGCCTCCGTGATGCTGGCGAGGGGTTCAGCCTCCACCCACTTGGTAAAATAGTCGACGGCCACAATGATGTATCTGTTGTTGGAGGCACCCCTCGGCAGAGGGCCCACAAGGTCTATCCCCCATCGAGAAAAAGGGACAGATGTGCTGATGGGGGCATAGTTGACCGCTGGCCTGTCGGGGGCTTTCTGGAAATGTTGACATGCGGTGCACCTCCGGGCAAGGTCAGCACAATCCCTGGCCATGGTTGGCCAGAAGTAGCCCTGGAGAATGAGCCTTCGGGACATGGAGAAGGGTCCTTGGTGAGCTGAGCAAGTGCCACTGTGCACTTCCTCCATTGCGACCTCGGCTTCATCTAGATGAAAGCACCGAAGTAGCGTGCCATTGTAAGATCGTTTGTAGAGCCTTCCATCTTCGATGGTGTAGCTGGGAGCCCTCAGCTTTGCCAGTTTAGCGTGGGCCTCATTCTCGGGCAGCTGCCCTGTGGAGATGAAGGCGGTGATATCTGAGATCCAATCCTCCTGACGTTGTTGTATGTTCATCACGGGGCTTGCATGGATGCTTGAGAGGCTGAGTTCCTCGATTTTGGCAATTTTGGAGATGTGCTCGGGGGAGTCTGCCGAGAGTTTAGATAATATGTCGGCCTCGGAGTTCTGAGCCCTCGGTATTTGAGTGAGAGTGTGTGCCTCAAATACCTTAAGCAACTCCTTGGCCGCTTCCTTTTACTGTTTCATTCTCCCCTCCTTGGCCTCATATTCTTCGGAGATTTGGCCAACGACCAACTTGGAGTCGCATTTGATGTGGATCTGCCGAGCCCTCATGTTGGCAGCCAGCCGAAGGCCACATAGGAGGGCTTCATATTCGGCCTCATTGTTGGAGACCTTGAAGGAGAAGCGGATTGCATAGTAGGCCCTGAAGCCCTCGGGAGTAATGAGGACTACCCCTCCCCCGCATGCTTTTGTCGCGGAGGAGCCATCAGT